CTTATAGGCATCTGATTCTTAACGGCGATAAAACAGAAAAATCTTCAAAGCATTACATTAAAAAAGCACGTTTTTAGTTTTACTTTGATAAGGAATTAGAGATCACCCATGAATAGCATATGAAGGCATTCTACAATTTTTTTTTTAATATAAAGACTTGGGAATTGGGATCTTGATTTTCTTTGATAAAAAGCTCTCAAAAATAAATCTTGAAGTAAAACCTTGTCGAATTGATCTGCTGTTGTCTCCACTTTCTTTGTTTTGCTTTTCTTTGGTAAAGAAGCTCATGAAGCCGGTTCGACCTTGAGATAAAGGTTTAATTCGTGAGTTGGACTATCAGTACTGATTTGAGCGTTAAGATATAAAGATGGCAATATATCTACTATGCCTACTGCGTAAATCGCTAAGCATCCCAAACAGTTAGTTGACGACAGCAACAGTGCCTAAGACTTGAGTAAAACGTGAAAATTGAAATACAAAGCATCCAATATTTGAACATGCCTTTAACTAACCCTATTTTGACACAAAATTAAATACAGAAAGCATCCTGTTAATATTTGTAAGGATAGATAGCGAGTATAAAAGAGCAGTTTTGAAACACGGGTTAACATTCAAGAACATAAATTTAAATATCAACTGAAAAGTAAATCAAGCAATATTGTATTTTTGTCCACGTTTGTTTTTGAAAAAAGTTACAGAAACGCCATCATGCAACACACAACATAACTGACCTTTCTTTTTAATTGCTCCACTTTGAGAAGCCTCGGTAGTTTTTGGTGACAAATTCAGAGCCTCAACACCTTCAGCGATATTATCTGGTTGAACGTTGCCAGCTGCCTGATGTTGTTCGACATTCTGAGCATACTGTCGTTCAGCTGCCTGTGGAATATTTATCTGTCCTATCTCTCCTGCAGCAATCTCAGTTGTCCTTGTTCTGAATAGAATACGGAGACATAGATAAGATATTTCAAACTGGCTACATTTGGTATATTTTAACCGTCCAGTTCGGCTTCAAGTATCGGTCTCTGGCATTTAGTCTTTTTGGTAAACTAAGATACTATTTATAAATCCTCAGTGTAATCAGATGTCGCCAATCACTACCTATAATATGCGAAAAAATTATTCGTAACATTTACAGGCATCAGTATTTGAATATTATGTTTCGACAATGAATTGTTAGCTAAAATACATTCAAATCATGTATTCGAAATCTCAAATGCGTTTTTATTGGTAAATTCCAAGCTGACACGAGAGAGACATCAACCTACTTCACCCCCTACTCCAAAAATACTCCAATCGCGACCGGACGTCCATATACATTATTTCACTTGAATCCTTTAAGCAGTCTAGATTGTAGGTTAGTCTTAGGTTCTACAAAATAAAGTAACCAACTTACTGTACAATTTCCCTCTGGTTCTGCGCGTTATAAATATGAATGTTATAAACGGCTTGCTGTTGGTTTTGCTGTCCACCTTCTGCCATGGCGTCTGCTCACAAGAACTCCCTTTATGTTTCAGCTTTTTAAATCCAAAGTGTACTAAAACTGTTCGACTTCTATAATACAGGGCGAGGCTGTAACTAACGTACGAGTCCTGCTACGTCTTGACGCTTTGCACACGTTGGTATAATTAAAAGTAATATATGTTAGAACGCCCGGTGTGTAAACTTGTTAATCGCTTTCGTGTTAGGACTTTGAGTGAGCAAACAATACACAAAAACAAATATTGTGCAATCTTCGCTCAACCGAGACCAAATTAATTATGTCGGCACACTGCAATATTTTGCAGATTCCTGATAATATACTTCATATTTTCTTCTGGACTGAAGGATTTAACGATTCTGGTAATTTATAAAGAAATGAGAACTGTATATAAGATTTCTATGCGACTGGAATAAATCGAGTATTACGTAATAAAAATAGGATAGCATGTGGCAAGCCATGGCCTGTCGTCCGGTTACCAGTCCATGTCGGCCGAATTAGTTAGTTAGCACTTGTTTGTTTTAGATGCACGGACTTGATGGTGGAGAAGGCCGTAACCACCTTGCTAGGAGTTCAGCAACCTCCAAACCACTCATGGTGCGATGGGGAGCGCATTCCAAGAGTTCGAGACGATGCGACACAACGCCGTGCCTTATTAGGTCGTTTGTCGGCTATCATGTTTCAATTTGAACATTGTAATGTAAGAACTCAAATTATCTCTCTTGTCATTTCTCAATTTTTACGTTCACATGCATTCAGCGCGCGCGAGAGAGAGAGATTTTGGTGCTCCAGAAGTATGTGCAGCAAGATGGCGCACAACCTGAACGTAGTATGTGTAACAGGTTAGGGTTATAATGTTGTGCGACACCTTGGTGCACATAATTCGTGAGCGCCGAGATTTTATTATCACAAACGAAGTCAACATTTAATGATACTTTTAAATCAACCAGAAAAATAATTCAATAGTAATTGGTTGATTATTATGTCTGAGGGTCGGTAGGAATGCAAGACCGGTTAACGATATTCTCACGCTACCTATTCTTACGTTAGGAATGGATGGAAATATTGGTACTCCAGTAGTATGTGAACCAAGATGGCGGGCACCGGAACGTGGTATACCCTACCAGGTTAGGCCATAATTTCAGGTACAAATTCTATATATGAGAGTCACTTGGCTTGACCCGAACTCGTTATAGCACTAAAATAAGAAAAATTGGAATAAAATTATTGGCTAACCCTAACTTGGTACACATACTATGTTTAGTTTAAGTGTCCGCCAACTTGGTTCACATACCACGAGAGCGCCGAAATTTTATCTAGGTTGTGAGATAAATAAGAACAACCAATTTGAACACTTCAGGTCGTATAAAAGATCGAAAAACGATTTCAGCGAAAAGTATTCCTTTAAATCTTATTTATTGAAAATAGGAACAAATACCCAATCAGACTTTGCCAACGTGACCGACAAAACCCAAACTAGCCAAAACCAAAGAAAATGCACCAGTGGATATGTTATTTCTAATCACCATTCTGTTTGTTTGTTTACCCGTGTTTCACGGACCGTAGGGTACTTTAATTAATTTTTTTTTTTAAAATCGATCAAGCAAGGATAAAGTTAGCTTTGAACAAATTTATTTTGCAAATGTTAATGCGATGTATGTGTCTGTTTGGAAAAACAATTGAAACGAGGCTAGATAATTTTGATGGCTTGTGCACTTATGATTGAATAGAAATTGTAAGCAGATAGCCAAAACCCATCTTAAGTTGCTTTCCTCTTAGCCTAAGTCAAGTCAACATGGCGGACTTCTTGTTTATAAATACTTTGTATTATAACAATGCATATTATTCTGTCACAATGAGCGAAATATGAAAAAAAGTAAACGATCATTTTTTTTTGAAAAAAAAAAAATACAACTCAAAAAGTACTGTATGTTACTTTACGATCTATGAGGCGCACTGCCCCCCGCGCAACCAATTAATCTAGGCGCAACCTGTCAAAGAAATCATAGTTCATGCGGTCAATCCCCAACTTTCCTCTCCTATGGGGACAAATATGGAAATTCCATGTAGAATGTAGAGTATTCAAGCGCTTCCAACCAATAAAAAGCAGGCGTATACAATCAGTAGCGCAACCAAGAGGGAATTTGGGTAAGACTGAAAAAGTCTCTGATAATGCGTGTGATTGTATTTTGCTAAATTCGCTAATTGTTTCGTGAGGCGTTATTTGGAGGTCGGGAACCTATTTGGTCAAGAGAGCCATAAAAGGTACACATTTTCAGTTGCATTCCCGTGCGAGCCATACAGCGTTTTCCTTTGATCGTGTCTTAAAGTTATACTCAAAGGTCAACACATATAATGTCTCAATATACATTTAATGTTACTTCTGATGTTGCGCCTTCAACGACTGCTCACATACAACACATGTTGAAATTCACATTTATCGCCTTTCTTAGGCATCTCCGCGGTGCTTCAAATTACGGTATATTACAAATACAAAGTACAAACGGACGGAAGGCTTTTCCTCATTGCTCCGCAACTTTACCGCTTCATGATGTCACAAAATGTGTTCAAGAATCCCTTAGTTTTGTCACAATGTCTGTCTCGCACTTCCACATAACATAGATAGGCGCTGAGCGCTTATTCGCAAACGTGGCAAATGTCCTGCCAAATTTCGCATATTTATTTAGCTTGAAATCTGGTAACAATAGGATAGGATTTACATATTTATCCCGGGGGAGAGGAAAGCCGATAAGACGGCTTAACTACATGGCGAACCACGGCCTCTCGTCCGGTTACCAGTCCGTGTCGGGTATGGGATTAGTTTTAGTTATTTGTTTTTCGGGAGCATGGACTTGATGGTGGAGGAAGCCGTAACCGACCAGCGGTTACGTGAACCACCCTACGACGGCGAGGAGTCCAGCAATCCTCTCGCACATAACTACCCCGCATGGGATCGAACATGCGAACCCACGCAGGGTAATCAGAGATGCGGTGGCGAGCGTATTCCTAACGCTTAGCATGATGAGCCACACCGCCGCGCCAATAGTAAGCTTAGTCTTGGATATCAGATTTTTCTGGGAACCATATGTCGTCACTAAAAGAGCCGTATATGGCATTCTGTTCCCCGAAGTCTATGCAGCTGAAGCAAATAACTGGCCAACTATTCCCATACCGAAACGGAACAAGTAACCAGACCTGAGGCTGCAATATGGCATACGATCAGGCCATTGTAAGGCTTTCTTCTCACCAGGGGTAAATATGATAACCCTATCAACAGCAGGGCCGTGCCTCCACATATAAATAAGCTATTTTCTACTCTTCTATTTTATCGGCCTTTCTCTACACCAGGGTGGGTACTCCCATAGTATGTGAACCAAGATGGTGGACACTGGAACATAGCATGTGTACCAGGTTAGGGTTACGCCATAATTTCACGCCCCCTTATATTCTGTCACGCTGCTCCCACCCCTTGAGATAAATATGTGAGTTCCACTGTGAGAAAATATATGTGGACACTTTGTACTTTTTTATAAGTCTTTTATTATCACAATCACACATAAAATCAAATCTTGACGAGTTTCTTTATAATCACAGTGCATTTCAATACCACCATGCAAAGTTCACACTGACTAATCAACATAGTCTATAAATAAAATAAGAATAAAGTTGAAAGAAAAAGGACGAATTACAGGTGGCTTCTTCTACTCTATAGTGTTTGCCAACCTATGGGTCGCGACTCAAAACTGGGTCGCCTGAAAATTTTCTTGGGTCGCTTTTTTAAACAAAAATTTGGAGTTATTAATTTTATTGTTTATTTGGTATTGAAGTGTTGCTCAATATTATGTAAAGATCATTGTTTTTTTATTAGTCGGCAATAAATGATAAACGCTATATTGAATTGAGTATTTGAGCACATCTTTGAGTCGCAAGATTTTACAAAATTTTTTTTTTAGAAAATTTGGGTCGCTTGAAAAAAAAGGGTCGAGACCACTGTTCTACTCAACCCTATTAACAATTATTTCGAAAAACATCTTTGTTGGACACTCCAACAATAAAAATGAAAAGTTATTACTGAAGATAAAAAAAACAAGAAATTAAAGGACCCTTCTGGTTGCATTTCACTCACAAATTTTCAGATCATGGCTCCATGATGTTCAATCATTTTAAATACCTAGTTGTCAGAGCAGATAACACTGTTCCATTAAAATAGGTACTGAGCAATTGGCAAACTATTGACACATTCCACTCCAAGAGGTTTGGCGCTAGGGTTCCAAAAACGTCGGCTGAAAAGGACTGCAATAAATAGATTTTGCTGAGGAAAAAAATCACAAAAAAATGTTTTCCATAAGATTTGGTTATAGAAATGGCACTGGTCGGCCGTCACATGGGGAAAAGTGACATACTGGGATCGACATATAGTTTTACAAGTTCGCTCAACTGACATTGACTTTAGGTAAAGGACTCGATCAACCAATTACATACTGACAGCTAATATATTCCATTATCATGGAATATCCATTAACAAGAAAAATGAAACACCCTTGCAAAACTATAGAGCAGCCAAATGACAGCTTGAAGGACTTGTTGGCCCCGGAGTTTAGAAACCTCCAGTTGTTCTAATCATATGCGAACTACTTCATACAGGGTGTAATAATGTGGCCAGGCAAAAGACCCTCCCCTGAGTAGGAGGGGGGGGGGTAAGATTCTCCATATAGTTTCATATTTCTATGTAATATTTTTGAATGAGCTCTTTGACCCTCATTATTTTGAATTACTGGTAAATTGCAATGGTTAATTTTTGTATGAAGCAAGTTTCTAGATTCTACCGTATAAAATAGTTTTTTTAAACAATAAATTACAGAGCCTTAGTAGAGGTCTGCTAATATAAATTTTAGGATGCCCAAATTTGAATCCTTCTGCCACTCCATAATCAAATGATCAATCAAAAAATACGAGATTCTCGAACGCCTCAATTAAATATAGGGTGTCCATAAAGTCTTGAAATTTTTCTTTAAATTGCAAAGGAAATTTATCGATACCATATATAGTTTTGGCCCTCACAGATGTATTAAATGTAGTAAAAACAATTACTGATTACAAAATAACAAACCTGGTTAGATATATTGAGAACTGTCTTAATAACAAAATTGAAATTGTAAAGGGACTTCATGGACACCCTGTAAATCCACCACTTGATTCAGGCTAAAAATTGATTCAAAAATAGGAGAGATACTCTCGGATGCCCAAATGGATTTGTTTACCACTTGGTTGGTCTAAAGATCGATCAAAAAATGTGAACCTACCACTAAGTGGCCTAATAATCAAAGAATTCAAGACTAAAATGGGGTGGAACGGTCCCAAAAATAAAATACAATTCTCTACGATTTTCCATAAAATGTTTTCATAAGCATTTCAAACGAGGCGTTAATAATTCCCCATGAAATAAATGAACGTGCAATATTGATATGACAACCCCTGAAAAATTTACTCCAGTCTTTGTTTCGTTCATTATAAATAATTACAAATGTTTTTGATAAGGATTCAAACTTTCCTCCGACATTAGATTGCATTCTTGTTTTAACAACATTAATTGGATAAAACATTGTGCTGCATAAAGCACCAATCACGGCACCGCTTATAAAATCATTGAGAGAATTTTGTATAGTCTTTTCTTCAGCGTGAGGTAACATGGTTTTAATCGGTTTTCGAAGCCCAAAAAATATCGCATTTGAGAACCCGTTTCTTATAAAAATAGCACTTAGGCCTCTATAATACTCTTTCAATCCGCTGTAATTATGCAATGTTGCCATTGTGTGGAACGTACTTTTGAACGTATCATGGTGTTTTGGAGTTAAAAGCAGCACCTGTGCTCTTTCAAACGGTGTTAACGTTGATTCACACGCTCCTGCAAAAAAGGAGGCATATAACATCGCCAAATGTTCATTTATATTCCATTCGGTCGTCATTTTCTGATACGATTGATGATATAATCCGAACATAAGTGCCGTTGAAATTGATTTTTGTAATAATGGAGCAGGTAATCCCCGATATAAATTGATAAATCCTTCGTGTGTAATCTGCTTAACAGCTTTGTTCATTCTAAATCCAAAAAGTTGTTGACGAAACATAATTTTATTGATCGGAAACGTAACAATGATATTGATTGCAGAAGCACCAGCTCCGCAAAAGAAATGAGCATCATTCCTTGTTAACGGCTCATTGTCTGTCAACTTCTGTGAGCCAGGAGCACGGCCCGTAGGAACGGATGACTTCGATGCAATATTCTCAGTTGTCATTTTGTCTACATAATTTTAACAAACAAGTATAAACACTGCAATTGAAAATAAATATTCAGTAGGGAATATGGCGGTGAAATAGTACAATATGACATTTGTTAAAGCTTGGGGTCTAGTATAGTACCACAGGTACTTCCAGTGGGCGTAGCAGCATAACAAATTTTGCATATGTTATTTCTAACCCTCACCTGACTATGCCATCCAAAAATTACACCACTACGACGTCACCATCACATCATAGGGCTTGCCAAAGTATAATTACGATCGCCCAAGATGGCATCTGCGCCGCCGATAACGAACTCGCTAAGGCCGGCGATCTCTCTCCTATCGTAATCGTTGTGACGAGAAAACGAGAGAAATAGCTTGCTCGATTTCGGGTGATCGTCTGCGCGTTTTGGATGATCATTCGCATACTTTGGTGGGCCTTATTACGACACAGTGACGTTGAAATGACGTAATTTTTGGGTGACTTAGTCAGGTGAGGGTTAGGATTGACATATGCAAAAATTGTTTAGCCAGGCCAACTAGAAGTACAAGTGGTACTAAACTATACCAGACCCGAAGCTTGATGATTTCCAAGATTTTATTGGACCTGAGTCTAAAGCATATATAAATACTGAAATAAATCTTACGCAAAATACAACACAAATACATTGTTACTAACTAGCCTAAATAGGAAAAACAAAAATGCAGTGGAACGCTGATGTTAGCAGTAGTCAATGGTTGCCATCTGATTTTAAGCGCGCTACAACAATCATCAAGCAATGTACCGTATGTATGTTTATTCGTCTCGTAAAAGCAAAAACACAGGAGTTAGTAAACATCAACATTGAGGACGGGATGTATACACAAGACCATACTGGCCTGAAACACATGAAAGTTTGGCATACACCCCTTATGATTTCTATATTTTGTAATCAATGTTGCCACATTTCACTATTCAGCTATTGAAAAATTAATTATACTCTAATAAATTGGAAATAATATTGTTTTATTGCAATATATGGATGCTAAAATTTATTTAAAGTCTAATTATTTTTCCAAGTAAATTGAAAACCCCAATGCTGCAATGACGTACAGTAAAAATAAAAAATATCAAGGTGCCTGGTTTTAGCTTTTAGGGAGACCCGGCAAAACCTTTATAAAGGTGTGACTATGAAGTCATGCATACGGTACGCCACGGTACCGGTATTGAACAAATAACTGGTCAACTATTTCCATACGGTACTCCTTGAGAACTGGCAACCTAGGTACCGGTAACCTCTAACCGGCCAAACTGGGCGAGAAGCTGTGACTAACTACAGAACTATATGAATAAGCTGTAAACTGATTACGATACCGTATATCAGTATCGTATATTACACCAATACACGGTAACAGTATACAGGTACTGTACGGTAGTTTAGTACAGTACCGGTACCTTCGACATCATTGCCACTCGTCCACTTCAAAAATATGTTCGAATGCATTCGTATAGCAATATGCAGTGCAGCAGCGCTGTACCGGGAAAATAGCAGATGCCTTACCGCCTTACCGGTACCATACGTTTCGCATGCGCCGATACCGTGCTGTCGACACTCGACAACGGATAGAGAGAGACTCCGGATAGCAACTTCGAAACTCGGGGCTCGTTGAGTGATACAGAGAGAGAATGATATCGATAAACGCTGTTACAAATTTGCCGAAAGAGAGAAAGAGTTTACCTTGTTTTGTCTATAATAAAACATACACGCAACAAAATAGAATTATTTGAAAGCAAAAAGTTATCGGTACAGACCAACGTACAGACTGAGTGCAACGTTACGACCACCGTAGTCACGCGACACCAACGATACGACCACCGGCCGTTGCAGTCAGTTACCACCCAGTATTACTAAACTTTAATTAAAAACGCTTACGAAGTCCATGCTCCCGAAAACAAATACCTAACTAATCCCGTCTTATCGGCTCTCTTCTCCCCGGGGATAAATATGTAAATCCATGATGAGTGATATGTGGGGCGGCTGCATGGTGTGAAAAACACGGTTTTACAATTTACTGCACCGGGAATAAACTACTGTCTATAATTTATATATTCCCAAACTCGATCTTGAATGATACCGTGACCCGCCCTAGTATTACTTGGCGAGAGTTGGTCAACTCTTTCGTTTATTTGGCACGTGCATTCGAATCTGCAAATCCATTCTATGTGTCGCGAACTAAAGTGTCCGCGTTTATGTTTTGTCTATATATATATTTTTATGTTTATAGACTGTTATGTTGACATTTATTTAATGATGCTTTGTCGGATTTGGACTCCGACCACTCACTACGTTTGAGACAAAAACTGTCTTTCGATCTCTCTTCTCCGGCTGCCGCGCTGGCGGGCGGTCGTGCTTTCGGTTCCTTAGTTATATTTTGTTGTATTGTCTGTTTATGTTGTTTTAGGATAGGATAGGATTTACATATTTATCCCGGGGGGGGGGAGGAGTGATATTGGAATTGCCGTACAATAAACAACCAATCCGGAACCTTTGAGTCTTTTGATTCATTCTATAACCACGGTAACAACATCTTGGTCCGTGACATATGGCATGATTAGTCAACCACCAAGCTGTGCTTTATACGCATCACACCGAATGAAAAGAATCGACAGTGGAACGAACGGCATGTCAACTATACGATCTAGTGCAGTGGTTCTCAAACTTTTTTGCTTGCGGCACACTAAGCAAATATAAAAAATTTCTGCGGTACACTTGTAAAAAAATAAAGTTAGCTTTGAACAAATTTATTTTGCAAATGCTAATGCGATGAGTGTGCCTGTTTTGAGGAACAAATAAGATTGAAACGAGGTTTCGTCGCTGCCATCCGCACCCGTATTTTGCCGTCGATTCGAAGAGGTCCTTTATCCTTTTTTACTTTCTATTCCGGATCCGTATGTGGCTGTTGCCACAAGGATGCGTGACTGAGATAGTATTATGAAGATAGGATAGGATTTACATATTTATCCCGGGGGAGAGGAAAGCCGATAAGACGGCTTATCCATATGGCGAACCACGGCCTCTCGTCCGGTTACCATTCCAAGTCGGGTATGGGATTAGTTTTACTGTATTATTTGTTTTCGGAAGCATGGACTTGGTGGTGGAGGAAGCCGTAACCGACCAGCGGTTACGTGAACCACCCAGCGACGGCGAGGAGTCCAGCAATTCTCTTGCACATAACCATCCCTGAATGGGATTCGAACCTGCGAACCCACGCAGAGTAATTAGACGTGCGGTGGCGAGCGTATTCCTAACGCTTAGCCCGTTGAGCCACACCGCCGCGCCTTTTGAAGATAAATAACATAATCTCTTTCCACTTACACGAACAGTTCAATGCACAATACCCTAGTACACCCCATAATGGATTCCAAGAGAATAGAATTTGTAAGCAGATGCCAAAACTCGTCCACACTTGCTTTACCGTCAGTAAACTAAGCGCGCAAGTCAACATGTTGGGAGGTAGATGTCTTTTTACAAATACATTACAAATAACATAACAATTATAATGAGATGATTACCCTTACTTACCCTACTTCGACAATCAAATTATCTAATGGATAGTGCGATCCAAGTCCCACAAGCTTGCCCGTTGCAATGGCTCATTATCTAAAATTCCGAAAAAGCTCCGCGGCACACCTAAGAATATCTCATGGCACACTAGCCTGTCGCTGCACACCGATTGAGAAACGCTGATCTAGTGTCTTGTGAGGACGTCGAACAGCAGTTAGTAACCCAAGGTTGTTGTTTGGATACAATTTATAAGGCTCAATCATACGTTGAACCCCGGCAAGATATGGTATGGAAATAGTTGCGAATGCTTCAGATGTATGGGTCTATCGACGTGGAAACCTTACGACGGTAGGAGTAGCCTAATTATCTCCTATGAAATTCGAACCTGTGAACCCGTGTTGGCTAATCCGAGGTTTGCGTATTCTTAACTCTTACCACTATGCGCCACCGTCTCTGATATACGAGAATTACAAATTCTGATTAAAATGTCGGTACGCTTGTAGCATCTATAGTATTTAGATGACTGTTGAAAACTTTTATACAGTGGATAGTTTCTCTTGTACAATTTTTCTGACTCAAATTTAAAATATTAGCATAAACTGTTATAGTAGCTATTTATTAGAGTCCGCGAAAAGCTGATAAGCAAAAATGTATCAATTAAAACAGGACAGTACTTTATTGCGTGGCGTGCGATGCTTCCCGTCTGCAAATGACAGTATCATTTTGTTGCTTGATTTCAAATTAATATGTTACAGGCATATGGTTCCTGAGTTCCCTCTGTCTTCCGCTATATTAGTCTATATCCCCGTGATAACCATAATTGGGGCTACGCCATTTCAAATGATTACAGGAAGCGCACAGGACGTGCGAAGCAAACAAACATACGGGCGATAGTCGTCGATCACATTAATCATCTCTCCAGTCTACCGTGTTTCCCCGAGAATAAGACTGGGTCTTTTATCAATTTTCTTTCAAAAAACAAACACTGAGCTTATTTTCGGGATATGTCTTTTATTTTCATTTATCAAGAACAAAATTGTAAAGTAGAGAATTACGAGATTTTCAACTATATATACGAAATATGAAAACAGATATCCACTTACGTATAAATAACACGTTTTTCTCTCTCACGAGTTTTAGATTAATCACCAAATCAAAAATTTTTGACTAGGTTGACTTACTATTTCAAGGGAAGTGCTTATGTTGAAAATATTTTTAAAATTCAGGCTAGGTCTTATTTTCAGGGAAGCACGGTTGCGGCCTATCCAAGCTCTACACCAAGTTCTTGCTCAGTTTGAATGCTTGACCAAGATTGACTTCGAAGTTGCTTATCTGTGGCAAAAAAAGACATGATTGGTCTGCGTTAAATTGTCTGATTTAATTTCATTGGCTTGCTTTGTTTTTCTATTGCCCTCAATCGTGTTTTATACCCTATACATCGGCTTACGCTGGCGATAGAGTGAAAATTAATTTACATCCACATATTGCTTTCCGCCTGGCGTCTGTGATTATTTAGTGACATGTAAACTACTCTGCTACATGGAAATCCAAGCTTTGACTAATATATAGTAGTTTACTTTGAATATTCTGATCATCTTTAAATAGTATCCACGAAGTTTAGAAACGTCAGAGCAATGATTAAATAGTAACACAATATCAACAAGATTTCAACCATTTTTTTTTTGAAAATTAACAGAATGTCATATAATGTGAGGTTGAGCATGTGAATCCTTAAAATCAGCAAAAACTGAAGACGAGGTTTCTATTCGATCACCTGACAAAAAGGCAAAACAATCTATAACTACCTGCGGTTACTTCGCCCTTGTGTTACTCTTTTTTTGATTGACGAAATAAATCTCCCCCTTTTCCGTTGTACTTTATTCTTCTACACGAAAGCTCATACAACTTGTACAAAAAAACAAATAAAACTACCAGGTTTTTAATGACTATTTCATTTTAAGATGTGTATATATAAAATCGATAGATCCAATATTTGAAAGGGGAAAAAAAGCTTTTTTTTACAACAAGTGAGCTATGCTCAAATATATGAATACGTAGCGCCACATAATTTTGATGACGTCATAGCAAAAAATAGTTCCATCTTTAACCACTAATAAAAATTTTAAAGCAATTGGTCCAGTAATCAAGAAAAAACCCAATTTCTTCAAAACGTGTCAAAGAATAATAACAAGAACAACATAACAACGAAACGATCGTTATTTCCACTACGTGTCCAAAAACTCTTAAACAACACGGCAAGAAATTAGCATTTCGCATGATTTCGTGCCGAACAAATGTGAGATAATAAACAACTGATTAGACAGATCCATGGTGAAAGCTTAATCGCCCGGTCCGCTTTTTTCTAATTGATCACATGACAAAAACAAAACAATCTACGATTACCAACGATCGGTCACTCTGCTCTTGCGTTGCTCACTGCCGGTGTCCTTTGTTTTCTGTTTTATTTATCGGCCATCGTAATGTTTCGCCGGAGGAACCCCAGTTCTGAGGATAATTTGTTCAGTATTGACCAGAAAAATGTAAAGACCAAAATAAATCAGGTGAGTGCATTCATTCTCCCGTTTGAAGGTAACAGTCCGTGGCGGTTCTCTGTCTTTCTGCAGATTCAAGTTCTGAAGTTACGGTACCGATATTCAAAACAAAGCTTTCATTTTATTTTCAACGATGTTAAGATTTCTGTATTTTGCAGGTTTGCATGAGTCTATCCGAATGCTTGACCCTTCTGTGATTCTGTCTACTGAATAATTGATTTGATCAAATTACAGAATTAATTGACATTGTTTCAAGTTAATAATAACTGAATATTATCACTATGGGTCTAACATGCCGCAAGTGCTTAAGTCTAAATACTGGCAAGAACGGATGTGATGTGAAAATAAATGCCCAACTGCTTGTTTAAATAATGCCAAATGAATATGCGATATAAAAATACAGCCGAAATTTTAGTTTTTTTTTAAATAAAGTATATCTCACACCGAGCCCCATACACCATTTAGCGTGGGACATAACTGCTTATATGAAAATTAGGTTTTGATTTTAACATGTCTGTCAAAGATTTCATTACGTGCCAGGCACATTTTTTTAAATGTATGAATTTTAAATGGCATTTCCGTTTCGGTGATAATTTACATCACATTTTTGTTTGGCGTTATTTGAGAAGTAACGGTGTTTACTTCGCTGGACTGATTTTTAAAAACTATATATCTTGGGGTAGTGAAAAGTTGATACCAGCTTTATCATAGAGAGTTCACCATTTATATCATTCTGGTCTAGTCTAAGTTTGCATTTATATAATTGATATTTTTGAATAAGGGTGGTTATTCTTATTGGATTTGTCACCTCCTTAGTGTGGTTCACGTAGCCACTGGTTGTCACGACTTCCTCCACCGATCGAGAGGAGATATGCGTAGATATGATTAGGCGTTGCATCTGTTTACCTTTCCCTCAGGATAAATATGTGAATTCCATCCTAATCCTATCTTATCCTCTTCTAGTCTTACCTTGGCCTCCAACAACCTAATTTGTACCTATTAAATTACATCAATTTTTTTTAGAATCTTGCACATATTGTCAAAGAACTACAAAAGGAATATCCTTTATCTGGATCTCCTGTGTTGTCTGAGTCTGCCCTTGCTCAACATCTATGCAGTGTGGTGGAGTCTGCATTTATTCATGGATTGAAGGTAGAAATTATGAACAATATTGTATTTTATTTGGTACTCCTGTAGTATGCAAACTAAGATGGTGGAATGGAATGTAGTATGTGTACCAGGTTAGGGTTAGGCCATAATTTTATTCCAATTTTTCTTATATTAGTTCTATTACGAGTTTGGGGACTAGCCAAGTGACTCTCGTAGTATTTGTACCTGAAATTATGGCCTAACCTAACCTAACCCAATACGTTCAGGTGTTCGTCATCTTGGTTTACATACTTCAGGAGTAAGCCTACCTTTTATTTTGTACACATGGATTTTGCACTAAGGTTCTGATTCCCAACCTCTTGAGTGCCATGGACACCCCCTTTTGTTGATCTCAGTTAATTCTTTAATGTGCAGATTGAGTGATTAAAGCTCTGCTCTAGTGCTCTGATTGAACTTCTCTTTGCGGAAGGATAAATCAGTGGTTTCCTCTGTTTAGGAACTCTTTATTCCTTCATAATCATGTTAAAAAATTATTTAATTCATTCAATCTTGAAGGAATCCTTGAGCTAGTGTTATGCACAAGTCGCATTCCCACTGTTTGCAGTAATATAATTTCCGCATGAATTGCATAAATATGTATTATAAGAATAACCAAGAACTGAGGAACACTACAGAAAATGCAAAGCCTAATTCCTTGCCAGAAACAACTTTCTGCCTAGGTGTATTTCCTTCCCGATGGGAAACATGGCGATAAGCTATCCATGAAAAAATAGTTTTGAAAGACTAATTTAATTAATAAAAAGTATTTCTTTCTACAGGTTTCTTATTATGAAAAAGATAACTCACGTTCAACATCGAAGAATAGTTTTCCTCGACCACAATTTTGGAATTTAATATTGAAAATAAGCCATGCAGAAACGATCAAAAGGGTAAGCCATAATGTTATAATATTTTCAATAAGTTATATCAGTAGTTCTCAACCTTTTATGACTCGTGGCCCCCTTTTGGAAGCTTTTAGCACTCATGGCCCCCACTTTAATATTCCAGAGGTATTAATAGGGTTATTTTCATTGATAGATTCCAAATTCATTGATAGATTCCAAATCCCATTATGTTAAAACAATTTGCACAAAAGAGAGCGAAAACACCCTGCGAAATAACCTTGTTGAGCAGCAAACTAGGAAAAACTGTGAGATTTCTTTTAAAGTGTAAAGTAAATTCAGATTAAGCCCATCCCTGTGGCCCCCCTCCAACTCCTCTGTGGCCCCCTTAGGGGGCCGAGGGCCCCCGGTTGAGAACCGCTGAGTTATATCATGGGTACTCCAGGAGTATGTGTACCAATATGAAGGTTACTAATTTTGTTCGCCTACTTTACATCGAGTTGTGTAAAGAGACTGAAACCTATGGGCAGGGGGTATATTCACCTTGCTAGTTCCCGAACTAGAAATAGTACTGAAATAAGGAAAATCTGAATCAAAAAACACACTGTGTGAGTACAGTATCATGTATTTATTAGTTGGAGCTATGGACTAGAAGTGATATCAACAAAACCCTATTAAGTAATGTTTAATAGGACATATAGATTTTAAATTGAAAGATTTCGGTAAAAAAAGTGATACGTGTTCGCTCACTTAAAAGTATTAAGTTATTAAAACATGCACACACACACACTAATAAGCTATCAGTGGCCGTGTTTTTTTTTACACGTGTTGGTATATAATTGCAAGTTCAAACCTAAGTCAAACTTAGTTCAGTCCAATGCTTTTACAATATTGGTCAACCCAAGTTTTTCTCCCAAGAACTTCAATTGTGGGGATGCGCCACCGGCCACCCCATAACTTTTTTTGATCGGATAGATGTTTCCCTGAGCGTCGACTTTCTTGTTTATTTTTCCATCAATTACAAAACAGCAGAGTTAAAAATGACATTGACATAACAATCGGAATTTATGCCATCCAGACATTTCTTTCGCTCAGACAAATGTTCAAGCGCGGTTGTACACATTAACTGTTTTTGGTTGTTTTGTGTGGTATTTGTCTGGTTTTAGTTGTGTTTATGAAAAAAAAAATAGTTGCAAATCATATAACTCAATTGTCATTATGTCTTACCTTTAGCCTTTAGTTTAGTTACAATAATCAAAAACTGAAACCGCAAATGCTGCGATAGACTAACCCAGAGGTTCCCAAACCAGGGGTTGCGGCCCCAAATTGGGTCGGAGTGATAAGTAGGAGGATGGATGTACAACACATCTAAGAGTTGACAAACCATGTTAAATTTAGCAGTTTGTACCATGGCTTACTGTAAAACAGGCCCATAGGCATTGCTTTATGCTTATGCTATGGAAAATGTAGGTGATTATTGTGACATCACTGTTTGATTTTAGCTTATTTTACTTAATAACACCACATGACCAAACTCAAAAGTCCGGTGAAAGAAGCTTTAAAGTTCCATGAAAAATATATATAATGACCAGGGGTTGCACTGGGGGTCGTCCTGAAAAAGCATGGGAACCTCTGGACTAACCTAAAATTAGCTACCAGTACCTATAGGCATTTGGTTTTATTGTTTTGAATTTTGAATAAAAATATTATTGAAAATGTGAGCCAGTTTGTTAGCGCCAACTCTTTAAAAATCAGAGTTGAAAATTTTGCTTTAATAAAGTATAGGGAGAATCTTTCAGGGTCAAGAGTAGGGGAGACTGCCATTGACATAAAATGCTTCAATTCTTGTGTCATTCGGTATTTATTATCATGCAATTTTACAATATCATTTTTTATAGTTTGATGTTTTTCTGCACTTCTGTGGTCTCTGTAAATTTGCTCAGAGATCTTTCTCATATATTTATTAGTGCATGTCGTTAGTATTAGTAGTGCATGTGACCTTATTTCTTATTATTTTCTTATAGAAACATAGTGGGTGGTAGCGTCGAATATTTGGTCATTGCTAAGGTGTGCGTCAGTGTAGGTATAATTTGGCAATACAGGTAGTATATGTGTCGGTGTGTATTGATTTAGTTAATTTGGTCAAAAATCTATTATTACGCTCGATCGTAAATTTGAATGTTCTGTGTTTTATCTGACCAAAGTCGGACTCCTTCAGACAAATATAATTTATTCAAGTATGGCTATAATGACTATATGGATTCAGTGATTTTATGCGCAGTTTAAATTCTCTTTTAATGATTTTTATTTTTGTTTTAAGGTTCAAGATCTGACATATATTACCTCACGAATTGGGAAATGTCGTGCGTGGCTACGTCTGACGTTAAATGACAGTGCAGTGACATCATACCTCACTTCCATTTTATCTAAAGACCAGAGGCCGATGCTCTCTCATTATTACGACTCTCATGCTTTATTTTTGGACCAAGAACATGTAGGTTGAAATTTGTTTTTATGCATATGCTTCAAATTAGGGGGGCCCAAACCGCGGCCCCTCGGCCAATTATGGCCAGCGTAACGATTTAATATGGCCCGTCAAATTATATGTTTTTATGTTTTTGTGTTCTCTAATTCCTAATTGTTACATCATTATTACTGTTTAAGCATGTGTATATTAGTCACAATTCTATCATACCGGTATCCCAATTTATACTGATATCGGCATTTTGTCCTCTTTTCAGGCCTGCAAATATTTTTCCGCTTTTCAATCAACTTAGGGAACAAAGTTTCAGACATGTAGCCACTAGGGCTGGGTATATATCTGATCATTTTAGAATCAAATATTTTTTCGAATCTAACGAATCTCGAATACTTTGAAGATGCGTTGTTGTGATGACTGTTTTATTGTAATGAGTCTTCCAGCGACGTAAATTGGTAGAAACGCATTTTATCTATCACTCAGACAGTTTGATGAGCGTTCACACACAGTAAGAAATATGTTTCATCAATAACTCACTGGGAAGAAAAAATTCATAATATATTAGAATTGCATTTTAGAAATTTGTAAATGATAAAAAAACATGAGAAATTCATTTTTACCTGTAGGTAGAAAAATAACAAGATTGCGGCGATTTGAATAATATACTATTCAATTTGAAATGCCCATCCCTAGTAGTCACTGATTTAGTGAGGAGCTATTAACACAATCATTGATTCAGCAAATTGAATTATTTCAGGAACTGACTTAGAACAAACTTGTAGAATGTCCATTTTGGCTTACTAGAAAAGCCTCTTTCGGAGCATAAGTAGCAAACAACCTTCTAGTCTGTATCTACAGACCTTATATCTCTATTTAATAAATTTTTCCCTGACTTGTGACCCCTGGTAAATTTTTGTTGATTAGCCTATGTTATGGAAGTAAATGAGGAAGTAGATGCTCGGGAAACAGCCATTGTGTTTTGTTTGTTCAGGATTATATTGCTTTGGTATTCCAATGGAACCGAATCAATATTTGTATTGTTTACATTTGTTTGTATTGAGAATATGGTTGAATGGGGATAAAATAGTCTTTGTTCAATTGCTTGCTATTTTGCATGGTGTTCTTTGTTATCTGTGTTTTGTCGAGTGTAGAATTTTAGCTTGTAGGTTTTTGTATTGGGAAGTTAACAGTCGAGTTAGCACAGTGGTTTTTAACTGTTATGGTGAGATAGTTCTCAAACGGTGCTGAGCACCCCTCATAGGGGGGCGTAGGCAAATTTTTGAGGGGGCGTGAAGTTACTTAAAAATAAAAATATTTATTAGATTTGATCTTGCTCGCCTTATTTTGGATATTTACATTTCAAAGCTTTCCATTTATTTTAATATTTACGTTCCATTCACATATTTTCAACCTGTTTTTTCCATAAAACATACTTTCGCCTTACTATCTGTTATTTGTAGCTTTTTGTTAGCTAGTTATTTTTGAAGTGGGGCGCGAGACTTGACAAATTCTAAAAAGTTTTAGAACCACTGGTGGCGTGGAACCTCAATGCAACAGTCCAGAGGATTGATATATCCAAGTGGATTAGTTACTAGTCTTGATTGTGTACAGTAAAAATAGAAATAAAAGCCAGCCTAATACTGGCAAAGAAAAGGATCAACGATTTGTTAAGTGTAGCAAGTTTAGTAATAGCGGGCATGCCCGCCGGGCATACACCATAATTTTGTGATCTTGTAACAAATTACTGTTTGTCTGTAATTTTACTTAGTTTTTCCTAACTTTGCTCAGGGATGAATCATTCTTACTTTTGAGTGAGTGCCAGCAACTTTGCTCAGAGATGAGTCTCCTTTACTTCTGAACAGGTGCCCGTAACTTTGCTCAGAGTTGACAGTTGAGTCTTTTTTTTGCCACAGTGAAATGAATAAAAACTTGCGTTGCAAAAATTTGCTACATACAAAGTATTATGCCGACACTCCTCTTTGTTTGTACCAATGCTTATTGGATTTGAATAATAACATTTTCACACCTATGTGTCATCATAATCACTTCTGTATCTAGCAGCCAATCACTTGGAATTGTTTTGTTTATCTTTCCAAATTGACCTTTGACCCCTAGATATTGTTTTTATTTTGATCATCTGACAAATTTTATAGGTATCATAAAAATAGTACACTTTATTTACTGGTGTTTTGCTAGAAGTGTTAGACTTTACTATGAGGGATATAGTTGGTTAAAATCCCAGGGTCACATCGCATGCCCACCACCCACCTGGTATAGGGCAGTGGTTCCTGGTCCGCGGGCCGGTTCGCGTAGTTTTTTTGCCGTTCTACGAAAAATTTCGTTGTGTTTCATTGGTTAGCATAGGAATTGGTTTTGTTATGCAATTTATCTTCCGACGTCATAATTACACTTATTGCTTTTCCCGTACCGATACATCGCGTTTAATAAGCTTAGTCTAATCTTGCAAGATTCAAAAACCTAAAATTTGGCACCAATGCTGTTCCTGTTTCCTTTTTAGGGTTATGAATACTCATTTGATTCATTTCAATTTTATTTAATTTTACCAGTTTGCCAGGGTGAAAAGTTATGAAACCACTCGTGTAGGGTCGGCAATGCCAAACTATAGTGGCTACTTACCAGCAAGCAGTGGCTAATTGAGCAAAGCCTCGTTAAAAGCTTTGGAATCCCTAAAATTTCACTTGACGCAGAAAATGAGCCGCAAGAAAATCCAGGTTGAGATCCGCTGGGAGTTGAGGCATAATGATGACGTCTAGCCAAATCTGACTTTGTTGATTGATCTAGAATTATTGATTGCCAATCTGATTGGGAAATGGCGATCAATACCTTGATCTTTCAACTTAGAAATGATTCTTAGGAGAGCGAGTCCGAATGCTGGATAACGTTTTATTTGCGAAATTGAAAGCTAAACCCGGCAAGTAAAGTCCACAGGCATACTTTCCTGGCAGTCGAAAAATTAAATATGATAATGATACTGAGAACACCAAAATTAAATAGATATGAATACAGTAATTGATATCCTATAAACACTTGCTTCGGGATCCATACGACTTTGAGTACAAAAATTAGGGTCCACATCAAATAAAGGTTGGAAAGCCCTGCACTATAGTTCGGACAAACTGAAATATTTAATCATTGCCCCCTGATTTGTTACATTGTGGGTAAAGTGGGGAAATGGGATTTGAGCCAAGATAATCAGGTCCAACTCTCTAGATTTCTATGATATTTTTTATAATTTTATGTCCTTTTTTGTGCAAATTTTATTTCAAAATATTAAAAATAATTGATTTTTGTGAGGAAATACCTAGAAGTCATACTAAGTGGGCAATTTGTCAGTTCTTACATAATTTCTAGATATTTCCCCTCAGGCAATATATGACAAATTTACTTTGTTTTGTACTTTTCTGGTGTTTTCCCGGGCTAGTAACGTCACAAAATCTGGGGTGTCAAGAACCAATCGAATATATTTAAATATCACGACCCGATATCATTTTAGTGTTTTAAGAATAACGAATATTGTGCACACATAGTTTATTGCTGCCGTACTGGACATTTTAATTGAAAATATTTTACAATTATCATCTTATGAAACAGGAATGCGCGAACTTATAATGGAAAGCTGCATAGTCATAGAATACAATGCAAGCGCTTATTTATTTTCTGTTGGCCGACTTCCAAGAGCTTTATTAACCTACGGTAGTTAAGTGCAACTTGAAAAATCTGTTTTGAGAAAAAGAAGACTTTGTATAATTTTTATTTTAAACTCTTCTTACTCTCATCGATATAATTTGGTAAATATTTGCTTAAAATTATGTACAGATACCGGCTTGATTAGTTATTTCTTTGCAATATTTTTAAATAAATTTTTTATTAAAATTTCCACATTCACCTTTTATCTTGAATTTCGATTTCGATTGTCACCATTAAAAGTCTGAAAGGGCTGTTATTTGATAATGTTAATTTGATAATGATAATGTTATTTTGGTAATTATTTCGTCATACGCAGTGATACTAAGCAAACAACAAATTTAATCTACAATGTCTAAAATACAGTATGACGCATCATACCGATATCATCCCACGTTTACATATTGCATCATTATTACTATCTGCTTAGGAATGTAAAGTATTCGAACCACATGGCGGACGTGGGCAAGCGGTCTGAACTGGAATTTTTCAAATTCAATATTCAATACAAAAAAATCTGGAAGAAATGCCAAACATGACAATTTTTTGTGTTTTCACACTATTTGCTCCTAACAAGGCCCAATGCAAGCAACCTCTACTGATATATAGTTATATGCATCACCTCACGTTAGATATTGTGTCATTATTATTATTATTATCTGCTCAGGAATGTCACGTGGGTGAACGGTCTGAAGGGGGATTTTTTAAAATTCAATATTCAACATGGAAAATGTGGAAGAAATTCCAAACATGACAATTTTTTGCGTTTCCACATTTTTGCTCTTAACAAGGCCCTGTACGAGCAGGCACCACTGATATCTAATGATATGTAAAGCGTTTTTAGAGGAGAGTGTTTATGCAAATCACTTAGTTTCATCTATCCATGTTTGTGTGTTATGTTTTCTATCTTCTTTTCAGAAAAAGAACTTTGGGCTTTCTCTGGAATAACCCTTTTACATTGGGTTTATTTAATTAACAGTGCCCATCTGTTCTATAAATATTTCTTTATACAGCTATGTTGGCAATGCGGATTGAATATCTTTTTCAAATCTTATGCCCACCATCTCGTAAAAATTTGAGCAGGAAATTTCGAACTGGAAATAATTTGAGTTTGAAGCTGCTTATCACCACAGGCACACAGCATAACCAAAGCAGCCTAGGACAATATTTGGTCTAAATTTCACCTGTTTTAGTTTTGATTTAGTGCCCTATATCCATTTTTAGGTTTGACCGTACAGATTTGAAAATACAAAAATGATCCTAAAGCCTTATGAAGCCGTAATAAAATGTTACTTCAGCTAATTTGGTTTTACTTCGGCAATATAATGCCATTTCTGACATAAAATGATGGAATACTCTATTTTGGCGATTTTGTTAGATAGACATCTGATCAATATCTTGGGATTGTTTGTTTCTACCAACGTCACATGAACTCATGAGTTGTTAACATTTTCACAAATAAACACTTCCAATTTTGTCTTATGACATGAATGACAAATTACCCAACTTTTGTGTTGTGGTTTAGCATGGACATTGGTTTAAATTTAATAAATAAAGAAGTAATATTAACATTGTTTTGAGTTATTTACAGTCATCAAAAGTTGACTATCAGTTTTGACTAGGCCACAGATCATTTGTCTCACACAATGGGTTCGAAGTTTATACTGCATAATGACTAAGCACAATGACTAATACTGATGTGTATTGATTTGTCTAAATTTGCCAAATTTCAATATTTTAAGATACTCGTGATTATATGTGGCCAATGATATAATACATTTGTGCAGTACTTCTAAGATTCTCTAAAATTCGATAGATGATGTATTATATAAGGCCAAGGATGTTGTAAAACTAATTTGTGCATTTGACGTTATCAGGTACTATTTGTATTTAGTATGGCCAAATATCTTCCAGAGATGTACGGTAATACCATTATGCAGCAGCAGCACTGCTAGGATTTAAATCAGAAGTTACCAGAAGTTCTTCGGCATATATTCCCCTTTTTTCGGTATATATTCCCCTTTATAAAATAGTTAATTCGTGTATTTGAGATGCTATTTATTTATCTTGGGCCAAATGTGGCAATGACCAAATTACGATTATTTACTATGCTGTATTTAATGCCAGGAAAAATTGAATATTTGAAAACATTTGAAATTATCTAGCTATATTTAATTATTGTAAAATTTTGATAATGCCTAATGGGTAACTTGTGAGTCTTTTATTGTTGGTAGCTGTCATAGTATGTCATATTAGGAGCAACACCTACAAATACAATGACTTATTGACACCGACTGAAATGTTACGAGTTGCCCAAACAAACACAGGAGTATGTCTTAACAACAATTCAAAAAAGAAACCTAAAAATCAAACCAGCACAACATATCTGGCATTACAATAGTCCTTTACACAAAGGATGACATTCAAATGGCAGTCAGGACCATCCTTATCCATCCTTATTTCCAGTCAGCCCTTTTATGCTGATTGGGACCCTATATCCAAAAACAAAACATTTTGAATAGTGAGTCGATATGTCATATATCCATCTCTATTTCTAACCTGCTATTCAAATGGTGATTGAAACCATATACTCATCCATTTTCCTAACACGCTGTCCATATGGCCGACCTCTACACAGAAGGCCATTTAAATAGCGATTGGGGTCATATATTTATTCCTATCTGTCTATATGACAACCCATAGCCCCATTCAGCCCCCTATAGAGAAGGTCATACAAATATTGAATAGAACCATATATCCATCCCTATTCCCAACTGTTCATATTTGTCCCACTTATACTCCAACAAAAATTATAACAAAAATGCTTTTCTCTTTACAGGCAGAAATATTCCTTCGATATCTGCAAGGAGTCGAAAGCGTAGTTTTTGAACTAAGTTACAACTCTTCAGTATTGAACCAGTGGACTAAAACACCTCTGGAACTAGCTGGCCTTGTGCCACCTTCTACCTCAGCGCCTCTGTATCAGGGATTGCATGCAAGGTACTTATTTTGTGTGTTTAATTATAATTATTTACAGTCCATAAGGCGTACTCCTGTAGTATATGTACCAGGTTAGGGTTAGGCCATAATTTTATTCTGATTTTCCCTATTGTAGTCCTATTATGAGTTCGGAGACTGCCTGTGTTAGCCAAGTGAATATCCTCCTGCCTATAAGTTTTAGTCCTTATACACAACTTGATGTAAAGTAGGTGAACAAAATTAGTTACTTCCATATTGGTACACATATTTCTGGAACGTCCCATAAGCTGCACTCTAAATTTGTTTTCTCAAAAATCATTTGCGCGTCTAATCAAGTGCGTCAGGTAGTTGGAATGTTGAAAAATTTGTTTGACTTTGACTGCCAATAGACTGTTAAAAATGCTTAGTAAACTTACTGTATATCTTGCACATAATTCACTCCTAAAAAAGGCGCTAAAACGGTGAATTTATGAAAATTCACATATAAGCTGACCCTACAAATCAGAAAACGCAGTACGCATCCATCACAGAAAATGGTTGCAAAATGGAATTGATGAAAATAATAACCCTTATTGTTATATTTGCTTATAATAATAACGGTAAAAATTGTCTCAAAATCCATTGATTAAGGGTTATTGGCATACGAGGTGCGGCTAAAAAGAAACGGGACTGGCAAAATGTTAATTCTTTGCTCAGTCGTCATTCTTTAATTGAACCCCCTATCGCCAAAAAACTCAATCAGACCTCGCACAGCATTTTTTTTTCAACAAGAAATTTATCACATTCACTTATGGATCCTGAAAAGCAAAAATAATTGCGATATTGTGTCAAAACAGCTGTTAAACAAAGAACACATATTACGCCACACTGCAAAAGTGTTGATTACTGATGGTTAATCGTGTTGCGCAATCTGTGACGTCAGTCCCGTTTCTTTTTAGCCGCACCTCGTATAGCAGGACCCCTTGACCCGGCGACTTTTTTTGAGTTATAAACTCTGCTTATATGTGAAGATATGGTGAATTTTTTATTGAGTTCCGACCATAAAGTCAGGGAAAAAAATTTACAATCGACTCCTGAGTTTGCGTTGACCTTAACCATCCATTCTCTTGCAGATCTGAAAACAACAACCTCTCAAAGCCTTACAATCATAATAGAAGATTAGCGTACCACCGTGCTTCAACTCCTGCGGACTTCTTGAAACATGACATCATCAGCGCCTCTCTACCGACCACTAGTGGTGACGAGTGGATTAAAAAGAATCGAGTAGCTGAAGAAGAAGTTGATGGGAAGTGAGTGCGAATTGCAGATGCAATATTCTTTCAAAATTGTTGTATCATTTCAAGCAGTTCTTGAAAGCCGGTTTGAAATCACAATAGAAATGGCTCCAGCCTTGAAGTCACAGCATATTTAACTGTGGCAAGGGCTCTGGAAACTGGATATTTTTTTTTCTTTCTAAAAGCATGGCAACATACTCCATTTCCATAGATTTCAGAAGGTATTCAATATATCATATTCGAATTTATTTTTTTCTTAGATATATTCTAAATGATGAAATACTCAGTTTCGGCCACCCCTGGTACCTGCATAGTTAAGTGCAATGCCTTACCACAAGACTTAGTTTTTTTAACTGGGCAGGAATTCTGGTGTACTTGGAGAGAAAATAATACTTTATTGAGTATTGTTGAGTTATTGTGATACCTATTTATGCACATATTATAGACTATAAAAGTCGGAAAGCCAGAAAGCGAGTTCTGCGTACCTTTAGATAAGGCCCATAAAAGATTGGACAAATAACGGAAATAGCTTTTCCACATAACGAGGGAAGAATAACAAGATCCGAAATAAGCAATAGGATTAATTTATTTGATTAATAAGATATTCATTTTAGTCATGCATCAAAACTTGTGGACAAAGGTAATAATAAATCATGACACACAATGTTTCGACCGCATTCGAAATGGAGTCACAAAACACGATCAGGTTATCGTGTCTACGACACCATAATTGCAGAGTTCAGCAGCTGTGCCAGATTGAAAATTTGTTTTTTTCAATCCTACCAGCTTCCTTAGCAATTCCTAGCCTCGTTAAATCCTTGTTAAAAGTATATTCAATTTTCTTCACAGATCTCAAGTAACCAAGCAGGAACCAATTAAGGAAGAGAAAGAAGAAGAGGTCAAAGGTGAAGCTGAAGAGCCCGAATCAGGTACAATTCCTGCTGTGATATAATGCTGTCCTAAATCTAGTCCTTTTACTGTTACTTTAAAGACTGAAATTTTTATGCCAAATTTTTTTCAAGAAATTCGTTTATCTGATTGGTATCTAGTTTTCTTGATTACCTATCGATTTTGATCGGTAAGTATGTTGATAGGTATTTGTCTGTTTGTTTGTCTCTCTGTTTGTCTTTTACATACACACGATATCTCACGAAAACGAGGTTGAATCTGCTCCAAATTTTGCATGTGCATTCATCTTATCTCGGACCAGAAGCCTATTGATTTTGGATGAATTATGTCGTATAATTAGCGAGTTATTAATTAATTGGTGATAGGACACGTGGTGTCGCTATTGAGTTGAAGCGAATGTTACTTACACGCCGCTAGATTGATAAGTTGGCGGCCTCCAATCGCCATCTCATTAGAGTATCACATCATTCTGTGTCTGTATTCTATATACTTCCAGTAACCCTTGGCAAATGGTTGCTTGCAACTTTGCTCAAAAAGGAATCTCTTTTGATGATCTTTTGATCTTCCTCAAATTTTGAGTAAGTGTGATGTTTCGAGTTGTGGTTGCCTTAATTAATCTCCTTTACTTCTGTGTGTGTATATGTTCTTACTTTGAGCAAAATTTTTTTATAAATCTTGAAATGGATATAATTTCTGTCTTTATGTAGAAACTTCAACTCCTCTCGTGACACCGACTGAAGACGGAATTTTGCACAAACGACAATTAATAAAGAAAAAAAAGAGAAGAAGGCATTCTATTGTAAGTTGTGTGAAGGAGAAGGGTAGTTGATGAGATGGCTTACAAACTTTGGTCTCTTGTCCAGTTATCAGTCTAAGCTGGGAGTAGTTCAATTACTTCCTTCAGGTGTAAGATCTGCTTTACTCTGAACGAGGCTCTAGACCTGGGGTTCCCAAACCAGGGGTCACGACCCCAAATTGGGTCGGAGTGATAAGTAGGTAGGGTCGCAAACAGGTCATGGGGTCGCTGAGGTATGGTAGAGGATGGATGTACAAAACATCTAAGATTTGACAAACCATGTTAAATTAAGCAGTTTGTACCATGGCTTACTGTGAAACAGGCCCATATGCATCGCTCTATGCTTATGCCATGGAAAATGTAGGTGGTTATTGTGAGCTCCAAAGTTTCATGAAAAATATATATATTAGCCTGGGGTCCCACTGGACACTTGAAAGTCTTTGGGGTCGTCCTGAAAAAAGCTTGGGAACCCCTGATTTAGACTTTACATTGGAAAACTACAACCCGCGGGCCAAAGCCGGGTAATTCAGTTTGGCCTGCCTGATGCTTCCACAACCAAAATAAAATCAAATGTTGATGTTTTGGCTAGAAAATAGTTCAAGGAATCTGTTAAGATTGCAATTAAATATAGTTTTGGCATGCGGCCTGTTTTTCACTTTTGCTTTTCTAACACTGTAAATATTGTTCATAAAATGGTAACTACAATGTCCGCCAGTCTGGGTGGGCGACATTTTTGGCCCTGGGTCTGGAAACCTTGCTCACCCTGCTCTAGACAATGACCACTATATTTGAAAAGTATTATATCTCAGTATTGCTTGCCCTATGTGTTGAATTCTAGGTGAATCGGATTAAAGAGGGGAGAATTGATGGGATGGCTCAATCATAAGAACCATAATGCAATTACGATACGTGTCACATCGATGTATGGTTAATTGTCTTATTGGGGTTTGGGAATACTCATTTAATCCGGGGGAGAAAAGTTGGGGCTCCTGAAGTATGCGAACCAATATGGCGGACATCGAAATGTAATATGTGTACTAGGTTAGGGTTAGGTCATAATTCTAGATATAAATACTACGGGAGGCTCTTGGCTAGTCTTCGAACTGATAATAGGACTAAAATAAGGAAAATTGGAATAAAATTATGGCCTAACCCTAACTTGTTACCCATGCTACGTTTCGATGTCCGCCATCTTGGTTCGCATACTTCAGGAGCACCGAAAAGTTGATAAGACAGCCCAATCATAAATAGCAAACTTTAGCCTCTCATCCTGTAATCAGACTCTTAAGACATTTAAATAGTGTAATTGAATCATGTTAGCAGAAATTCTGGCTCTTCATAAGTATGTGTACCAATATGGAGGTAACTTATTTTGTTCGCATACTGCTTCACTTCTAGTACTACTTGTGCAAAGCCTTGTCTTGAGTTTTAACTTATTTTATACAAAATCTTTTGCAGAACAAAGGTCTGGACGGCAGTTGGAGTAGTCTATCGGGTGGTGAACTCGGATCCTCTGGATCAAACCCAAGTTCGAGACGAGGCACACCAAGAAATAACAGTTTCTGTGACACTCCGCCAACAATTGAGTTGCAGGTAGGTCTCTGTGTGGGTTCTAGAAAAATCGCCGTTAGAAATCTCTCCACAGGGAAAATCGCTGCAAGAGCATTTTGCTGTAAAACAAGTATTAGTGATAAAACAATTAGGTTTTTGAAGTACTTTTTCTTTTAAAGAAGATTCGGCCTTCCTGAAGGACCGCAGAGTAATTCTCTGGAGGCCACAGGAAGAATCTTTGAATTGCTACCATGTTTAATGGCGAAATTATGTTAAAGTAATTTGATTTGGTAATATTTCGACTGTGATGCAACTATTTTTTTCTATTTTTTTCATTTCTTGGCTTATATCAGCCTTTCCCAAACTATTTGTTCGTGCAGAACCAAATTATCAGGGAAGAAAATTCATGGCACACTTACCCATCATGAGAAAAAACTCAATTTTGCGATCGCCAAAATGTACTTTATGCAATATAAAGTTTGTTAACATGTAGGCATAAGGAATTGAAGACCAAGGCACATCTTATCATTAGCATCGTTTATTTATAATTGTCTGTTATCTTTAATCTCTAATCAAACAGAAGTATAATCATATTGGGCTAATCTATTATTTATCCTATTATTTCCTTCACATGTATTGTCTTATCAGTACTCTGTATTTACATAACTGATAATTTATTGTTATCTTTAATCTCTAATCAAACAAAAGTCAGATCTTATTAGACTAATCACTTAATTATTTTGTGTTTGTTTTAGAAAAAAAGAAACGATATGACAGAGAAAAAATTGGCCTCACTTATAAAAGAAAAATCAGCGAGCCCACCACATCAAAGGCTTCTCAGAAGTGAATCACCGGACAATATTTTTAGTAACAATTTGTCAGATAAGAAGCCTACGACGTCTACAAAAGATAAAAAGAACAAAAATTTAGTTCTTTCACCAAAACGCGAAAAGAAAATATCAAGTTCCAGTGATAAAACAGATAATATTGAACCTTTCAAGTCTTTCCCACCAGAGGGCAGTGTTGGAAAAAGTCAGAGCTCTTCAAACTCCTCCTCGGGGCTGGAAGACTCGACAGGATCGAGTAGCAGCGGAAACGTGGGTAACAAACTCGAATCTCAAATGCCGTTATCAGACGCTTATAAAACGTCCTTTGTGACATCATCAAGCAGTCTTAGTGGAGCTGAAGGTCAAACCAAAGAGGTCGAAGGTCAAAATCCAGAACAGGAAGTGAATGATGTCATGACCAGAAGTACAGATGCTATTGATATCTACTCTAGCTCAGTTCTGGAAGATACGTTCCCCCCCAGTAGCGTTGATTTGAGTCTCGAACTGAGTACCCCTAATAGGGTGGGTAATAGCTTATCCAGGAGTGGGGGTTGGTCGGCCCCAAATACCCCCGATTATCAGCAATCTACCCCCAAAAGCATAAAAAATGGAATTTTTGGTTCATTGTTGAATCAGGGTCATGTCTCATCTTATGAAGAATCTCACGAGCCCATCAAGTGGGCGCCGTCGCAGAAATTGCCGAAACAGACAAAGAAAAGCGAACAAAACGGACAGGAAAATGAAAAATTGGAAATATTTATAAGAAGGGAGGGATATTTAAAGAAAATGGGTGAAAAATTGAAACTATGGAAACAGCGGTGGTTCGTACTCCGTGGAACGATGCTTAATTATTATAAAGATAAAAACTCTAACGTTCTTTTGGGGTCGATTGATCTAACGGACGTGCTTGTGATTTCGGAAGAAGTGGATCACCATGACGCTGATATCGTAATTGTGATGAACAATGGCACCAAACACCACCTAGCAGCAGAAAGCAGGCAGATTACGCTCGATTGGGCGTCTGATTTCAATCAAGTATTAACCGGGCCAGAATCTCCACAAAAAGGTGGCAGTAAAGAGCAAAATGGGGAGGACATTTATTCGAAAAATTATTTAGAAGAATATGAAATTATCTCAGTCCGAAATAACCTACTAAATGGCACAAATACGAGCTGGTATGCTTCAATGATCGCACACATGGGGAAAATCGCAAACGAGAAAGGCCTCGACTCGCAAAATTATCAGTGTGCCGATTGTGCATCTCCTATTGGAATTATATACGGCGCACCGAGAGTCTGCACATTCACAGGGCAGTACTATTGCTCACAATGTCATTCTAACGACGAGATACAGATACCGGCAAGGATTGTACATAATTGGGACTTTAGAAAACACAAGGTACTTTTCAGTCTTTAATTCTAGCGTTTTACTTGGTGTTTTTAATGAGCACGATGGTGTAGTCTAGTGCCGGGGTACTCAACTATTTTTTTTACGTAAGATCCGTATACAAAACTTCAAAATTACTGGTGTCTGGTTTTTCTGGAATTACATTTCTACATTTTTTAAATGCGCACTTCCTCTGCTGGCTTATAGTTATTCGCTAATCAAGACAGTACTATTTGAATTGTTTGTTCTGGTATTGCAGTTCTTTTCCATATCTCGGGTGCAAATATAAATGAATGATGGAATAACCTTAAAACTATAAAAGCAATATGATAAAAATGATCCAAAATAAAGAATTGGGCACGGTCGAATACTCGTGAGGTTCGAATTCAAACTGTCGTTCGCCAGTTGAGTAGCCCTGGTCTAGTGCACTGAACATAGAAAATTGTTGTTTATTTATTGACAAAGCAAGGTCCCCAACTGAACCCTCAACTGTGAGTTGGGAGTGTTACAGCAACCGATGATATGCTAAAAGCTACTTTTGAAATCCATGCCTTTTTCAAAAATGCTTTTCTCTTGCAGTTTTCTCAAGAACATAAAACAACATTGTTTACTTTTTAAAAAGTTTACCCAAAGCAAGCCCACAAGCCCACAATCAAAAGTTGCAGGCAACCGAAGACATGCTGAAAGCTACCTTGACATTTCTTGTTGCGACACAGAACTCATATCATTCATTAGGGAAATAGCCCCGAGAGCAGGGATGGCCAATACCGAATAGTTCACTATTTCGAATACATTCGAAATTATTTTTTTCGAATATGAAATTTCGAATACTTCGAAAATAAAATTCACTAATTGAAGCTTATGTAAATGTATGTAGGAATTTCCATACAATAAGCAATGGTATAAACTGCTATCTACAAGTTACAACCTAGTTATATTACCAGGCATTTCATATTTGCAGATTATTGCAGTATATATTTTATATACCTTGAGTCATGTTAACAGAATTAAATTAATACGGCAATAGTGGTATCGGTGATGGATTTGAATATTTGCGCAACACAAAATCATCCTAGTAAAACGCCCATACTTTTAAATATCAACCATTATCCAAATTATTTGCCAAAAAGCGGGATAAAGTATGAGTTATTTTTCCGACTTTTCTAAGTCCACAGATCGCCGTTGTATTTTGTAAATACAAAAATAGGAATCAAAAATTAATATTAATCGCGAGTTTGCCACACAATTTATGTCCACAGATTGCCGTGATATTGTGCCGAATATAATTAGTTTTTGATTCTTATTTTCGCACTGACGAAGAAATTGTCACAAGTCGGAGAAAGAATTTATACTTTATCCCGCTTTTTGGGAACTAATTTGGATAATGGTTGCCATTGATTTGTATTTAAAAGTATGGACTTTTTACTAGGATGATTTTGTGCTGCGTAAAATATTCGAATCCATGACTGATACCACTATTTAAAATGCCTTACCGTGTTAATTTAGTTCTATAATCAAAACTCAAATGTTGGTAAATCGGGCAGTTTACCACACATTTTAAGGCCACAGATCGCCGGCTATAAATACCGTATTTCCCGGCTAATAAGTCCACATGGCAAATAGGACGATGTCTATTTTTAGCACTCAAAAAAGGGTTTTTTCCATATAGGCCTCCAATAAGACTGGTAGAAAAATGTGTCCCTGTGATATGCGCTAATAATTTTATATGTTTAGAACCAGATCATGTTAGTTTGGTAGAATCATACTCACAGAATTAACTATTTTTAACAATTGAGCGGTAAATTTAAGTTGTAAAGCGGCAATCATTTTGGACAACCTATTAACCCGAATGTTAAAATAATTTTGGAATGTGATAAGTACTACACTGTACGTCCACGGGTTATTTAACAGCTGTGTTTTCCTGTCCCTGTCGTGTTCTGCTGAATCGGCAAAACGAAAGGGTCACAAATCACTTTCACTCGGTGGCCATGTTTCTCTTTAAAGTAACGATAACCGGCCTGCGATTAAATATCATGATTGGCAGACCCTAAGACCCAAATATAAGGTTACACAAATCATGCTTGAGAAGACTAATAAGCAGGCCACATAGAAATAAAATAAACATACTTTCTCAATTCTCAAAAAATTGGGCCTAGAAAAGCGGTAATTGTCAATTTTTCGACGTGATGGAAATGAATTTGTAAATTAAAAGCCTCGTAGACGAATGTCGGCAATGTCCACCCACGCAAACGTGCAAATGTGTCCCAACACTATGCGACGTACGGTCGCACAGAATATAAACAATCAAAGTGCCGATTCTATTTCATCGTCATTACAATACGTGAGACAGCGTAAAAAGTCGTTTGAAGATTCCCGTAAAACAAAACACCACGGTTACGGCGAAAAGTGGCTACTATTCGGAATTATTCGAAAATCAGCCGAAAAGGTATTCGAATACTATGATATTCGAATATACTCGAATATTCGATTCGTTTTGGACAACCCTGCCCGAGAGCCAACAATTTTTCTTTCCTAAAAATCTTCATTTTGTTTCAAGGTCGCCAAAAGGTCAAAATCCTTTATTGAACAAGTATTCAACGACCCGCTACTCAACCTGAGTGAATGCAACCCTGGTATTTACAAATATATCGACGAAATGGGCAAAGTATTTCATTTAAGGCAACGTCTTGTGCATTTGAAACCTTATCTGCAAACTTGCAGAAGTTTTGATATGGAGGAAATTAATAACAGGTGGGTTGAATTGATTTTTATTCTTTCTGTCAAGTTCGTTCAAAAGTGGTTCGAGTGGGATGAGCACCTACTGATAAATGAGCTACAGACAACCAATGAATTGTATATAAGTTTGCTCAAAGTGAGATCACTAACTAATAGGAGAGTTGCAACTGGTGCGCTAAGAACTATAAGTTGTTTATTCCCGCAACAATGATTTCTATCGATTTCAGTTACTTTTTAAAAAATCCTAAGAGGACAAATATTTACTGTTTTATTATTATAATTCATGGATACATTTTCTTGTTAAGCACGAAAAACCTTTATTCATCACATTTTTCCACTTTTCTTTTTGCATATATTATCCCACTGTACCGGTCCCGATACGTAACCTTGGTGCCCCTGTATTTGCTCAGTACTATCGAAGTATGTGAACCAGGTTAGGGTTAGGACATAATTTTACGGAAGTCACTGGGCTAGTCCCCGATCTCTTAATAGAACTAAAATAAGAAAATTGGAACAAAATTATGGCCTAACCTGGTACACATGCTACTTTCCAGTGTCCGCCGTCTTGGTGCCCATACTTCGGGGAGTACCCATTACTCTTTCCATAGATGAGCATATATAAATTTATTCCTATTTCACAGGTTAGGATCTCGACTCTACTTTCTCGACGACAGCCATCTTTATTCTATCCAAGATTTATGCAACGTTCACGACAAATCGCTCGGTAACATGCTAAACAAGTTGGTCACCTCCGGCACGAAGCACGTCTATGGATGTACGCTTTGTTCCGCTAAAGGATTCGTCTGCGAGATCTGCCAGAGTAACTCGATTATTTTTCCGTTCGAAACGGACTCGACAGTCCAGTGTTTCGAATGCAAAAGTGTTTTTCATCGCGAATGCAAAAATGATTCTTGCCCGAAGTGCGAACGTCGACAAAAATATTTCATGGCGAAAGCGAATGAATATGTTCATGACTCATCAGATTCTGATGAGATTTAATGACTCAACATATTTCATAAGTTCAAATAAAATATGGGCATGAATCAATAAAATTTGAGGACAAAAATATTGACTTTGAAGCATTTTTTGTAAGATTGAAGAAATAAACCGACGTGACTCGCCAAAATTTGAGCTCTAAAATCGTGACTGAGCATTTTTCACAAATCAGTTATATTATTTTTATTGAACTTGAAAAGTAAGTGAGCGTGACTGCGATAATAATGGATCCTATATCGAGGGCTTCAACCCAAAAGCGCAAAACCTCGAAAACAAATCTGTCCTGGAAAAGAAGAAAAACGTATATTTTGGACTCGTAACATTTTAACTTTTTAATTAATTGAATAGTTTGGTGAATATGACCTCAATTTTCGATTAGAATGGCAGTTTTTTCTTCGTAATTATTTCGAAATTCCAATTTCGCCCCTCACCTTGGAAACCTTGATTTAATAATTAATCACTTTTTCAATAAATTCTTTTCTTGAGATCTTTTTCTAAATATATATGTGTGTGTGTTCAATATATATTTTCATGCTGCAATCAGTTTGCTGTGTAGTTGGTGAAAATCCACACCCGACTTCAAACTCAGACCCAATCAGGAATAAGTTCTGAGCCATTTAAGCTCTACCAATAACAAGTTGGCAAAAATTTTTTGTCTCTCGACTCTGAATTCAAGGGCAACTTTGACACTTTTTGAATCACCATGATAAATATTTCGGTATTCGATTCTCCAAGTATGCGTACTAAGATGGCGGACACCGCAACGTAGTATGTGTAACAGGTTAGCCATAATTTTAGGTACAAATACTACGGAGTCACTTGGATAGTCCCCGAACTTGTAATAGAACTGAAATAAGAAAAATTGGAATAAAATTATAGCCTGACCCCGTACTCGTGCTATGTTCAGGTGTCCGCCATCTTGGTACGTATACTTCAGGAGCACCCAATTTTGATAGATGTTGTCTTCAAAATGATATGTATTTGGTTAGAATACTTACTGTTCATTAAATCCTCCATTCTCTCTTATTTTGTAAAATATAAATGACAGGTTCGTACTTTAATGTTTCCATTGTTTGTTCGTTGTTTGGTTTATGATGCAATAATCGATCATGATATTTTTGTGCCTTAAAGTATTTTTGTGATTGTAGAAAATAACATCTTTTTTTAATTCTAATTGTCATGTTCGATGTGTTGGGTTACTATGGGTATCTCTAGATCAAGAGAAAATCGACTGGTGCCTACTCAGAAGTGAAGGAAGATCTGCCTCATCTCTGATTATAGTTGGGCCCTCAGTAAATGAAGCTTGTCTCTGAGAACAATTTAGTTTCTCACTCAGAAGTAAAAGAGACTAGTCTTTAAAAAATGTTCAGGGCACCCACTCCAAAGTAAATGATACTCATCTCTGGGCAAAGTTATGGGCTCTCACTCATTAGTAAATGATACTCATCTTTGACCAAAGTTACGGACACTCACTCAGAAGTAAATGATACTCATCTCTGAGCATAGTTACGGGCATTCACTCAGAAGTAAAGGAGACTCATCTCTGGGCAAAGTTATGGGCTCTCACTCAGAAGTAAATGATACTCATCTCTGAGCAAAGTTACAGACACTCACTCAGGAGTAAATGATGCTCATCTCTGAGCATAGTTACGGGCATTCACTCAGAAGTAAAGGAGACTCATCTCTGAGCAAAGTTGTGGGCACTCACTCAAAAGTAATTGATACTCATCTCTGACCAAAGTTACGGACACTCACTCAGAAGTAAATGATACTCCTCTCTGAGCATAGTTACGGGCATTCACTCAGAAGTGAAGGAGACTCATCTCTGGAAAAAGTTATGGGCTCTCACTCAGAAGTAAATGATACTCATCTCTGAGCATAGTTACGGGCATTCACTCGGAAGTAAAGGAGACTCATCTCTGAGCAAAATTGTGGGCACTCACTCAGAAGTAAAGGAGACTCAAAGTTGTGGGCACTCACTCAGAAGTAAAGGTGACTCATCTCTGAGCAAAGTTGTGGGCACTCACTCAGAAGTAAAGGAGACTCATCTCTGAGCAAAGTTGTGGGCACTCACTCAGAAGTAAAGGAGACTCATCTCTGAGCAAAGTTGTGGGCACTCACTCAGAAGTAAAGGAGACTCATCTCTAAGCAAAGTTGTGGGCACTCACTCAGAAGTAAAGGAGACTCATCTCTGAGCAAAGTTGTGGGCACTCACTCAGAAGTAAAGGAGACTCATCTCTTAGCAAAGTTGTAGGCACTCACTCAGAAGTAAAGGAGACTCATCTCTGAGCAAAGTTGTGGGCACTCACTCAGAAGTAAAGGAGACTCATCTCTGAGCAAAGTTATGGGCACTCACTCAGGAGTAAAGGAGACTTAGATATGAACAAGGGTTTGGAGCTCACTCAGAAGTGAGGTAGACTCGTCTCTGAACAAAGTTACAAGTGCTCTCTCAGAAATAAAGGAGACTTGTCTCTGAGCAAAGTTACGGGCATTCACACATGACTGAAAAAGACCAATCTCTGAGCAAAGTTACAAGTGCTCTCTTAGAAATGAAGAGTACTCAAATCTGAGAAAAGATGCTGGCACTCACTCAGAAGTAAAAAAAAGACTCATCTCTGAGCAAAGTTACACGTACTCGCTCAGCAATTAAGAAAACTCCTCTTTTAGCAAAGTTACGGACGCTCATTCAGAAAATACGGGGACTCGTGTCTGAGAACAGTTACAAAAACTCACTCAAAAGTAGATGGGATTCATCTGTGAGAAAAGTTACGGGAACTCACTCAAATGTAAAACAGACTCATCTTCGAGCAAAGTTCATTTCTGATCAAAGTTACGGGAACTGACTCAAAAGTAAAAGAGCAATAAGCAAAACGAGAATACTTTGTGTCCCATCACTAATTAATTAATAACTCGCTAATTATACGACATAATTCGCCCAAAATCAATAGTCTTCTGGTCCGAGATAAGATGGATGCACAAGCAAAATCTGGAGCAGATTCCATCTCGCTTTCTTGAGATATCGCGTGCATCTAACAGACAGACAGACAAAGACCTATCAACATACTTACCGATTAAAATCGATAAGTAATAACAGACGACCACTGAAATTTGATTTATGGCGGTGCATTACTCACTGGTACATCCTGATTGAACGGAGACTTGATAAAATTCTAGCAAACGATTCGAGTCTGTGAGGAAAATGTCTAGAGTTAAACCGATTTAAATAATTTTTTACCGAAAAAAGTTCTGCTAATTCGCGAAGCGGAATGTAAGCGCAGTTTGACTGAAAAGAGGCAGATAACAGCCCGTTAACAACCCTTTAGTCGCGTATGATGAATCCTAATAACATTTTCTACCCGCGGGACAAGCTGCTACTACGCTAATGACTACTCATGTGCGTGCTAACGCGCTCATTGCCTCGGCCGCTGAAAAAGAAAAAATTCTATCAAAACAGCAATTTGTACAAGCTGTTTATGATTAGGGTTATCATATTTTTGTGATCTCAAAGCGGGACGCCTACAAAGACCATAGCTGTGATTTTTGCACCTTTCAATTTTACATTGGGGGCCTACATTTAAATCCATCCCGACCGTCTTCATTGACCATATTGTAATCGAGAGTTCATGCGCTGTCTGTCTAAATATCGGATTCAGTTTGAAAATAGAAATAAATCTACGTTAACGTTAAGCATCCCTTTGACGTACGGGGCTCACACGTAACGAAATGTAGCAATTATACGCTATCAAAACAACGAAACAAACAAAACCACGCACCCACCTTCAGTAAGAAGGCTAACGGAACGCTACACAGCAACAAGAGTATCAAGAACATTCTAACTGGTATTGTTCGTGTATTATGCCGACTGGTTGAACGCCAAAGCGGGACATTTGAATGACTTGTCGGGACACCGACACAAGACGTTGAAAAGCAGGACTGTCCCACCCGAAGCGGTACGTATGGTAAGCCTATTTATGATGGACCGTCTTCTTTTTTTTCGATAGTGTTTATTCTATCTACTAGTAACTAGATTATATCATGTTTTTCTTGTCTATTTTCAACACGACCCACTTGACACGGCCAAATTTTTTCGCGTCTCTCCGAAACTGAGATAAAGTAAAAAAAATTAATCTAACCCACTTGACACGGCCAAATTTTTTCGCGTCTCTCCGAAACTGAGATAAAGTAAAAAAATTTTAATCTAACAAAATTAATTAATTGACGATGCCTTTAATGAGACCGATGCGGGCACTCTCTCAAAAGTAAAGAAGACTCATCTCTGAGCAAAGTTACGGAAACTCACTCACCCGGAGAAGTGTTTAGGGACAATTTAAGTTTTAGCCTAATTAGTGCTTAATTAGTACGAACGTGTGATTATTTACATGTGTTGGATGAGTGATTTTTTCGAATTAGAAGATGTTTTTGACCAGTTGAGATACATCCGAATCAAAATTTTGTTAATATTACTGATATTCCCCTACAGTAGTGTAGAAAGGTACCTGGAACTTAGCAAGGCAATACACTGGTATAATCATAATTGACAACAGCTCTTGTATTTGCGAGTGTGTGCGAATTGTTGTGCATGTTATTTTAATACCAGGTTGACTGAAACTCTAACTACTCACGCAATGCGCTTCTGTGCACAAGATTATCATTACTTATCGATCTCGATCGGTGAATATGTTGATAGGTATTTGTCTGTCTGTCTGACACACGCGATATCTCACGAAAGCGAGGTTGAATCTGCTCCAAATTTTGCATGTGCATTCACCATATCTCGGACCAGAAGCCTGTTGATTTTGGATGGATTATGTCGAATTATTATTGGCGAATATAATTAGCAAGTTATTAATTAATTAGTGATGGGACACGCGGTGTCGCTACTGAGTCGGAGCGAAGGATACATGCCGCTAGATCGATAAGTCGGCGGTATCCGATCGCTATCTCGCTAATTTCAATGTTGCTTATAACTGGCGTGGTTTTGTGTACCAGTACTATGCTAGTTGTTCAAGTGCTCCCACCCGTTATGCGGACGAATTCTATAACAATGGATATAATTCTAGGATTTGTTAGTAAATTGATAATATTTACGAGGGTATGTATATTCAGTTCTTTGCGATGATTAATCAAAAATGATCTGGGACGTCATGGCGGGGACAAGGTAATATTAAAAGTTCGACGGTTCCTTTGTCGACAGAAACACCACAATGGCTGTGTCACGTTATACGTCCTGAACGGCGCAAGGATTATGTCAAATAGGACAAGTAGGGGGTGGAAAATGGGGGGTAAATGACATACGAGCACAAAACGTTCGCAAAACATCTCGGTCTCTTTAATGACACACAATTTGGAAACGTCTGGTTTAGTTAAGACTCAAACCTATTTGATAAATGGGTACTCTAGTACAGGTCCTCCAAACACGGGCCACCACTGAGTGGCACCATGCGACTCTTTTATCACCAAAATCTTTGCGTTTCCGTAATCTACGCTCTCGCTCACCCAGATCAAAGTCGTACAAAGCATTCAGGTTTATTCAATTAAAAGTTAAAACTTTATTTTCAGAAGCGAAAGAAGGTTCACACGGTATATAGCGTGTGCAGTATTTTGATTCCCAATTGAGTTCTATCGAGCACAGGGTTTCCAATGAGGTCCCGAGAGTTTTATTGGGAGAAATTTGCTTGTGATTTACAAACTACAGAAAAATGAATTAAGTAGTTGTTATCAGGCTTACAATTAGTATGGCGTCATATATTGTGACGTCACTTTTCTTTTTAGTAGTGGTCAACCCTATTGAGACCTGCAATGCATCTCGAATTCCCCATACTAGGGCATATTATGACGTCATGTTTTGTGATGTAACTCTTTCTTTATTTACTGATGAAACCAGACTGGAAGTTAGGTAATTTTTTTTTATTGGGTGTAACGTTATTATTTACGTTATTATTACTGCGAGCGAACTCGCTGGGAATCATTGCAAAGTTTGACGAGATATAAACAGTTCGGTAATTGAACATAATTCAAACGGTATTGTTTAATAATAATAGTGCATTGAAACGTAACAATTGTTAAAAAAAAAGGCGGGAACATTATTGGAGAAAGATTCAATAAAATATATTTAACAAGGAAATAATTAAAAATGGGCAGAAAACGACTAATGAAACTTGAGGCACTTTTAAAATAATTGTAATTTTGATATGCCGTGTGCTTGGACCATATCAATAACAATGCCCATCGCGTCAAATAATTAATAAATTCGAAGCAAAATCCTAAAGATTAATATATTAGCAAAAAATTGTTTATAAATCGGGCTATAATAAAGGCGCTCCAGAATTGTGTGTACCGATATGGAGGTAACTAATTATGTTCACCCACCTCACATCAAGTTGGAAAAAATGAACTTGACTAAGTTGTGTAAAGGGAAGGGACTGATTACTATGGACAGGGGGTATATTCACTTGGCTAACACAGACATCAGAACTCGTAATAGAAGTAAAATAAGGCAAATCGGAATAAAATTATGCCCTAACCTGGTATACATACTACGGGAGAACCAAAATAAATGAAAACAAATAACAGATATAATTAAACGGATATATTAGTTAAACTAGGCGGCTCGGCGGTTGGCTTATTGTGATCGAATCTGAACTCATAGTCAGAACTTTTTACTCAACCAAGAGACGAGAGTAAGCTGGCGTGGTGTGATATATGTAAGAAACACGAATGATATCGAACAACCCAGTGGTTCTCAAACTTTCAAAGCCGCGCCCCCCTTTACAGAATTTGTCAAGACTTGCGCCCCACCTCAAAAAAAAAACTAGCTAACAATAAGCTACAAATAAGAGATAGTAAGGTGAAAGTAATACAACAGATAATAAAAAAAACAATAACCACACCAGCTCTTTGAAATCTCCAAACAATGAAGAAATGTAAATATCCAAAATAAAGCGGACAAGATCAAATCTAACTTATATTTTTATTTTGGAGTAGCTTCACGTCTCTCAAAAAATGGTCTACGCCCCCCTTGTTTGGCGCGTCCCATCGTTTGATAACAACTGCTTTGCACTATACGAGAGAAGCCGGCTAGTCTACTGTGAACTGCGTAAGAGAATTATGCTGGACTCGGGTATCTTATAGCGACAATTAAAGTCAACATTTCTGACGGAATCGTAAAAAGCATTTTATACGTATACGCTATTAAGTTTTTTATCTAAATTTGGTATTTTCGCTATTCGTATTTGGAATGGGAGTCGAAATTTTTTACTAAATAGTAGCCGGGGTTGTTCCTCGATCCATCATTTTTTACTTACATACCTATTTTTCAGTCGACGGTCAGCACATTTATATCAGGGAAACGACTGCTATCATATATATATATATAACAATGCGCACAACAATGCGGGTTTCCCACTGCCAGAGTTCATGCAAATTGGTACTGGTTAAATCCTACTGTTGACACGGGACTTTGGAGCAATGTTTAAAAATAGAGCTAAGCGGATTCCATATCACTATGATAAGAAACCTTGTCATAAAAATCTCTTTGCCTGGTTTAGAATGTGTGAAATAAACGGATAGTAATCAGTCATATTCTTAACGCGAGATATAAAGTCAAAATGTCCAGAAAAAAAAAGCTGAAAAGTGGTGAATTTAACATAACTGAATAATAATATTGTCATATTATATAAAACGTACACCGACAATAAACGGATGGTAACTCACAACCAATCGAGAAAGACGACCAAAAATTCCTCTTGGAGGAAAATTTTTTAAAAAGTTCAAAAGGAGGCCGATATAATAACTGTGAAATAAAACAGCCTGTCGTTAAAGTCAATGTGGGCAAATAAAAAACAGAGTCACAAAAAGTCCACATAACTGAAATTGTCGAAAAAAAAAACATCTGTCCTTACGTTTAAGAGTTCCCAGCCAGTCAAGGGGTTTAGGACATATTTTGAAGGGACGTCCTCGGCGGTGCTAAGCATCAGGAATACGCTCGCAACCGCACCTCTGCATTGGTTCATGGGTTAAAATCCTATGCGGAAATAGTTATGTGTGAGAGGATTGCTGGACTCCTCGTTGCTGTAGGTTAGTTAACGTAACCACTCGTAAGTTACGGCTTCCTCACCATCAAGTCCATGGTTCCGAAAACAATCACTGGCTATCGTTAACTAATTCCATACCCGACAATGACTGATAACCGGTCATGAAAATGATTAAGCCGTCTTATCATATGTAAATCACATCCTATCGGCTTTCCTCTCCCGTGGGATAAATATGTAAATCTTATCCTATCCTAGTATTTGCCGACGCACAATTATACACGTTATACCTATACAGGCTTAGCAGTACTTGCCTTCTGTAACTGTGCTCAGAAATCAATCTCGTATATTTCTGAGTGAGTGCACATGTCCTGGCTTTGAGCAAATGCAAATTTTCTTGCGAAAAAAGAATTTCAAAAGTACAGAAGAAGCCTTTTATAATATCTGTGAAGTACAACAGCTAGGCAATGTTGCGCCGAAATCTGTTGAAATATACAATGAGGTAGCAATAACCAGATAATAGGCATCTATCTGCACCAGTGGGATTCGAACTCCTGATATCTTGTTCAGTGGTTTTCTCATAGCTCGTACGTAAATTCAACATCAGTGCCAGATAGTTTTTCTTTTATTATTCGGTCGACTTTTTCGGACTGCTCGGACGTAAAATAGTCTTTCCAGTTCCCGACTTTACCTGAGAGGAAAATAAAAGTTACCGTTAACAGACGATACAAGACGCTATCAATTTTAAAATCAGCTAAGTTTCACACCCCGCACACACACAAACATAAGAACACACATACACGTACATAGAGTGTTTCTTATTCACCATATGGGGTTTTCAGTGTTATACTGACTTGAGAATTAGCTGGCGCACAACGCAGAATCAGAAAAGTAAAATCAGTTTGTGCTGGTATTGTGGTCCCACCCCGTTGCCCCCCCCCCCCCCCAGGATTTGAATGAAAAAAAAAAAAAAGTGCAACTCCACAAAAAGTCTCTCATGTGGTCATTATATCTAGTTTTCATTACTATGGAATATTTAATAAAATTCACTTTAAATACCTTTTCTAAACAGCTCATAAATATCTTGCAGTGGAGTTCCCGTGGATGACTTCTTCATATATTCGAACGAAGATTTCTCACAGATTGAAAGAATCTCTTCGTCTGTCAGTTCCTCGCCGAGATATCGCGCAACTTTGCGAACTTCGGATAAAATATCCTAAAAAGGAAATTGAAAAATAAATATGCGAATTATAGTCGTACCGTAATAGCTGTGTTATAGTTGTTAGCTGGGAATTTCAGAATCGCATCGAATCTTGAATACTTGGGAGATATGTAATTGTATGTGATTTTTTATTGTGTGAGGTCCTCCAGACACATAAATTACTGAAAACATAGATTTCATCACTCAGACAGTTCGCTGAGGAAGAAAAACAACAAATGTCGGAATTGCATTGTAAGAAAATGAAGAAATCCACCTCGACTTTCGGCTGATAGAAAAATAAAAAGGCGGAAGTTCGAAATTTTCGTTCGGTCTGCTATTCGAATGAAATGCCAAACCTTACTTGGCAGAGTTAAGCGTTCGGCACACGCTTACCATCACGCTCTGGTCAGTCCTGCGTTACATAATAGAGCCCCATGGGAGATGAATAAATGAGATATTTATACAAACCTGTACTGAGGTATTTCCCGGACAAATATTCATATATAAGTATTTATGGACAGGGAAGAAGGGAATTACACAAACATCTAGTAATTACTTGAATTAACGAATTGATTGCAAATGGTGAGGGTCCGTTGCCCTCTAAAGATACCAAAGGTTGATAAATTTTGCCTTGGGCCATCGCGCCTGCAAAGTGAAACCCTCTCTGCATGCCTAGAAAATCACAGTCGATTTACTTTGAATTATTGCAGTAATCGCAAATGGGACCCGGTGAAAAGTTTTGCTCTCGTCTCTCAGAGAACTGCCTCGTGGCCTCCTGAAGGGGCTAAGGATCCATTTTGAGAAAGTTTGCCTTGAGCTATCTACCACGCCTACAAATTTTGTTACCCCCATAGTATGCAAACCAAGATGGCGGACACAGGAACGTAGTATGTGTACCAGGTTAGGGTTAGGCCATAATTTCAGGTACAAATACTACGGGAGTCACTTGGATAGAAATAGAACTAAAATAAGGAAAATCTGAAAAAAAATGACCTAACCTTAACTTGGTACACGTACTACGTTCCGGTGTCCGCCACCTTGGTTCGCATACTACAGGGGTAACAAAATCTCAACATTCCTTGGTTTACTTCAGACAAATCTTACCTAGTGCAAATATTACCTAGTGAAGATCTTTGCTCATGTCTCTAATGAACCCCTCCGTGGCCCTCTGAAAAGCCCAAGGGCCCATTTTTGGAAATCATACTTTGGGCTATCGAGGGTACGAATTGAAACCTTCTCTTGCTCACCTTAGACAAATCTTCATATGAGACAAACATTACATTTTCATCGTCTTTGTGTTTACACCAGCTTTTTATATGATCAGGATACCATTCACCTTGACGGAGCTCTGTCGGCATTTTACCTGAAAAAAAATCAGAAATAAATAAATGTGATACTTATATACCTGTGATTGGGGGCGAAGTCAGAAATTTTCCAAGAGGGGGGGAGGGGGGAGTCTGGATTTTTTTTTGGCAAGTTATATCGAAACAGCTAGCGGGTCCGTCCAAACGTTGTGTTTTCTTTAGGGCTGGGCATTTTCGAATAACTTGTGATTTCAGAATCGAATCGAATAATTTTTTCGAATCGAATCTCGAATACTTGGAAAATATATAATTGTAATCGACTTTTTATTGTAATTGGTCCTCTCAACAAATGAATTACTGGAGACATAGAATACATCACTCAGATAGATTACTGAGCGTTCACACAGAATAACAAACACGTTTTATCAATAACTCAATACAGAAAATAGTCATATGTGAGAATTTCGTTGAAAAAATATGACTGCAATGAAAAAAAAATTGGGGAATTCACCTCGGCCATTAGCGGAAAGATAAAAACAAGATGACGGCGATTCGAAATTCCAGTCTGAACCGATTCGAATGATTTACTATTCGATTCGATTCGAAATGCCCAGCCCCAGTTTTCATGAGTCTTGAGGGTCTAAAAAGCGTTTCGAGTTACGAAAAATTGTTATGTATGATACAGAAAGATGCTTTTATTTTTTTCACATTTCAAAGTGGGTCGACACCCAAAAAACCCTCCTGGCTACGTCCCTGCCTGAGATACTTATACACTAATCACAGTGGTTTTCAACTTTTTTTTTGATGGAGCGAAGAAACAATGAAACATTCCAGTGCAGTAATTTAATTGTCTTTAAATGGTTCTCCCGTGGTATGTGTACCAGGTTCGGGTTAGACCATAATTTTATTCCGATTTTCCTTATTTTAGTTCTATTACGAATTCGAGGACTAGCCAAGGAATATTCCCCCTGCCCATAGACTTCCGTTCCTTTACACAACTTGATGGGAAGTAGGCGAACAAAATTAGTTATCTCCATATTGGTACATATACTTCCAGAGCGCGTAAACTTTGAATATATACAAAAGCACACCCTGGCAAAACATAATGATCTTCAAAGTGTAGCAGATTTACCAAAAATGGTTAACCTATTAGGTATACGTGCATAGGACACAAGGCAAATAGTCACTAACACGCAGTATAATAAAGAATTCGAGCGGACATTCTTGGTCAGTTTACTCTTACCATCTGGTAGAGCTATTACACCTCCGTAAGATAGCGCACCTGAGCTAAATCGTAGCTAATACCACTGTTTGGCAATCAGATTCGGGCATCGCTGTATCACTAATTAATTAAACGATTATAGTTTATTATTTCAATTTATTTGAAATCAAAATTTAGGAATTTGGTCGCTTTTTTTGGAGAAAGTGGAGGGATCGAATTTAATATATGTAATTTTTATATTTAATAAGAAACACTAATATATTATTACTTTAATCTCTTATCCCATCCTATCCTATCTAATCTTACCGCTGAAATAGTTATCGATGAATTGCTCCCAGTTATCAGGATACAAATCTTTGAACTGCTGAGATTTCGCGTGCGGAACTTTTCTTGAGAAATGATACCAGGATACTGTTTGATCTTTAGGGTTTCGGTAGATATAAATAATCTAGACATAATAGAATAAAAGGTTTAGTGAATATAAATTAATGGTTCTAAAGTTGATTGACCGGGGGACAAACTTAGAAACGGAATGATATCTGCGGGCCAGGAAAAGGCAAAAAGTGGCCGAAACCTGTATCGGCTGTTTTAGGGGATCGGCTTATATGTAATGATAATAGGTAAATTTGCTTGAAGCAAAGTCCCGAACTCTCAACAAAAACATTAAATAATACAAGTATTTGTGATAGCACGGAAAATCGCCACAAGAGCATTTTGCTGTAAAAAAAAGTATTTGTGAATAAAACAGTTAGGTTTAAGGGTTAGGGGATGCTCTTAAATACCGAATCATTTTTAAATAAAAAGGTACCTCACTAACCTAACTGTTTTCATCACAAATACTAGTTTTACAGAAAAATGCTCTTGCGGCGATTTTTCCTATGCGGCCTAATTTCCTGCGGCGAGATTTCCTACCGCGAAATTTCCTGCGGCGAATTTCCTAGAACCTGTATTTATACTTCAAATAGAGATGTCTATGAAAAAAGACAAGAAAAGTATCGGGTATGAGGCGCGAACCCGAATTTTCAACCAGCGACTTCAACCTATAGTAAAGCCTAACACAATAATTAACTGCTACCACTAAAACCATTTAATAGAGAACTACTATATATCTCGACTTTACGTCTAAGAGCAAAGCCGTAAGCGAACTATTGGATCTATTTCTCAGAGGAATCAAGCAGAATTAGTTAATGGCTTGTGTATGGAAGCATTTGCTAATCATGAGTCATTCTTTGTTAGAAAATAAGTCCCGTGCAACGTGGGAGCGGTAATATTAAAAATCGGTCTAAGTTTCTCAACCGATTCGTAGTTGAACGTGTTTCTATATTTTTTATTTTTAAATTCAGTTCATATAGTTTCCAACTGTGATAAAAGTTTCCACACTTTAACTGCGAGCAAGTCTCTTTAGAAGCAGACAACAAATACGCGAGACTTGACGAACAGCTAGTTGCCGACAAATAAAGGCATCGGCATTAAATGAACATAATGAGGTGATCTGCTATTTTCTTTTTCAATAAATGAGCACCATCAAGTACACTGAAGGGAAATCGAATGACAAGCTTAGCTAACAGGGTAAAAAGTGCAAAATGGCGAAGTTACTACTACTTGAGGCTTGAGAAGATTAGATTCTTTCGACTTTGGCACTGCCAACCCAATTTATTACAGCCTGGTTTAATTCTAAAAAAAATGTTGTATTTCTAAATAAAATCAAAATCGCGTACACAGGTTTTCGATGAAATTGAACGAAGATGAACTCGGTCAGCGTCGAGTGAAAAATCGATTATTTCGTCATAACAAAGTTAGAGTACATTGGGAAAGCATTCGTCAGATTTTGCCAAGCAAGACGTCGACTCCAATAGTGACGAAAAAACGCTAAACTTGGCGTTCAAGTTCATCTCAAATTCGTGTATATTTAGAGATTCATAATATAACTTCAGAACTACGAATTTAGGATGGGCTAAGTCTGCAAACGAGCCCATTTGAAACTCTTACTTGGCAAGATATATTTTAACACAAATGCGGACCGACCCTTGACTCATACTTCTGGAATTGCGCGCAAGGCTTTCGCCAAGTCTGGCAATACTCGAATGATTACTCATTAGTGAGTCACATTTCTTCCCCGACATTGCGCAAGGTTGATTAAAATCGAATGGAATTGAACCTATTTGAACTCGGTCGTCTGCCCACAAAAATCAATTATGCTGTAACAGAAGACAGTCATTTTAGCAGACGACGTAACATCGCAGAATCACTTTGTATCATTCCAAAAAGGGGGTATTCTGATAAAATAAACAAGTGATACATTGTACCACAAGGCATAATTGAAAAGGGATGAATGAAAACTTCCATCGTTTTTCAAATGGGCCGGGATTTTGGTCCTGCGATTCCAACATGGTTAAGGTTAATACTTGAACCACTATGTCAACACGACTAAAAATATCTAAATTAAATCATCGAGAACGATGTTTAAAGCAATAATTTGTGAAACGGATTTTGAGTTAGGAGACCACTGCAGACGTTGGTTAATGAACAAATTATAAAGTAAAATTGATCAGAATTGTCACGGCAAAAGACACCAACGTCGTCATCTTTACCTCCATTTATAAAACACAACGTGAGCCTCAGTATGGACCTTACAAAGGCCGTTGTCCCCCCGATGCGTTACTTGATGGAGTAAAATTATTGTCATATATTTTCCCCTATTTAGTAAAGCAAAGAAAGTAAGTTATCTTACTAACCCTATCATGATTATATTTACCAGTACGTAATCTGTATCTAGTGTACATTCTACACATAATACAAAGGTTTTTGAGTAAACCAAATTTCATGTAGTAAATTTCATCTCATCTAAAAAAAACTCATTTTTAAAAGCACAAACTGTTCTCTTCGAAAGGGTTTCAAAAGTCATGCTGTGCACGAACAACTCTAACAAAAATACATTTTTGTAAAGTTTCGTTCGACCACGGTCCAGACATACAGTAATGTTCAAGCACATCAATTATCTAGAGATTAGAATTAAGAAACATAATTACCTTTGCTTTACATTTTCTTATTTTCTCGAGATTTATAAGATGGGCCGGTAGATGACAGGAGAAGATTCGACGAGGGACGGGGAGGTGATCGATGATTTGAAACTTTGATGCTGAAAAACAATGAACAAGACGATTAACGTCGTACATTTGAGGATGACAGGGCACAAATCAATGTGTGGACAACGTAAATTTTGAATTAAATTTCGAAACCCCGGCCGGGAAACGTTGCTCCACATCAGGGTTCGCAACCAGATACAAACGAGAATATCGGTCAGAGACCGAAGACTTATCGATCGAAAGTTAGGGGATCCCAAAAAACAGCGCTCTTACTCCATAGTGACACCTTGTTACCCATCACTAATTAATTAATAACTCGCTAATTATAGGACATAATTCATCCAAAATCAATAGGCTTCTGGTCCGACATATGATGAATGCACATGCAAAATCTGGAGAAGATTCAATCTCGCTTTCGTGAGATATCGCGTGCATCTAACAGACGAACAGACAGACAAATACCTATCAACATACTTACCGATTAAAATCGATAAGTAATAACTGGGCAAAACCGGGGGCTTCACCTATATTCAACATAGGTTTTCTAGTAATGGCAGGCACAACAGTTTTTGGAAATGTTCGGGCATTGTAACGTCATAGCCATAGATAAGGAATTGGACACCGGATAGGCTTTGCAACCCAAGGGAATTGGAATAACGCGCACGTACCAGATTAATCTAAATTAAAAACTCGTTCCGAGGGCCGAACAACATTCAATATTGGCCCGCGGGCCGCAGGTTGCACAATCCTGCATAATAAATATGTCCCTTGCCTAACCCAGATTTAAAGTATAGAAAGTCTATGCCGAAAACTTTTGCGGCGAATTCCTTCACCGAATCTTGACCTCGTCTGAACTTTCTCTCGTTTAAAACGAGAGAATAATTGAGCAGTTCGAGCGGGTTCAATCACTGTTGCGTCACAATATCAAACGTGAATAATCATAATAGGAAGCCGCTCATATCCGAGAGTTTGAATAATGTATTTTCGAAGAAGCGCGAGTCCGCAACCTTTGGCAATGAAAGAGCCATTTGTTATCCTTTTCGTCGAACTCAACCCGACTCAGAGCAGCAATAACCATTCTAATGTCAGTGGCTATTAAACTTCCAAGAAAACCACTTATGATGCAATATTCTAGTTATTACTAAAAAGAAGTCAAATAAATTACGAGAAAAAAAAAGGATAAATTTGTCTTGATATATGCGAATCACCTTAATGGAACCTATATTTACCACTCTCGACTTATACCTGCCTTGATGTGTGATTAGTGAGTAGTAACCGACTTTATGCCCCCCACACACATCCATTTTCATTGAATCCTAACAACGAAACTGTTGTAGCCACTTTGATTCAAGGGAGCCAGAGCTCCGTGAACAACGAGCCGCAGATTGCCGATCACTGGTAAATGACATTGGTTTTCAATTTTTCGTGATTCGCGGCCTTCTTCCATAGATTCTCAACACTTCGTGTTCCCCAGCTTTTTACTGAAAACCTACTTTTGTCCCTAACGAAGTTAGTAAAGGCTTTTTCGCGTTTGAGCGTGTTTGTGTGTATGAAAACGAAACAGTACAGAAATTTAATAGTGTCGGTGTGAAGCCAGACTCCCGAATCTACACAAAATGATATGAAGTTATATTTGTTCAAGACTCTAAGTCGATCTGATTTAAGTCAGGTGGGAGTCACATGAATACATTCAAGTGCAACAAGACACTAGAGTTATTCAGACATGAGATGCATAAATACATTTGTTTTGGAGTGCAGCAAAGCACCGGAGTTTAAGCAAAACTATAGATGCAATTAACATAGTAAATTTCTTGTTAAATCAGTGACTATGTTTAATCCTCACACTATATTAGAGGCTTTTAGCACTCATGCCCCCCTGTTTATTATTCCAGTGGTATTTATATTGCTATTTTGATTGGTAGCTTCCAAATCCTATTATGTTCAAAAAATTCATGCTCAACTAAGTCCAAACTTCATGTGCATTGTGAGACCTTTCCAGCAAATGAAACTAGTTAGCACGGGGACTTCCTTGTAAAATGTAAAGGGAAAATCAGTTTCGCGTCTAGCATTGTGCCCCCCTTTAAGTGCTCTGTGGCGTTCTAAGGGGGCACACAGACCCTGGTTAGGAACCACTGCATTACATTGTGATATGTGCTAGTAAAAAGTTAGTCTCTCGAATCGATACAAATTTATTCATATTACAAATTATTCAAATAGCGACACTTTTGACATAATGAATACAAACTTTATAAAATAAATGAACATAAATAATATCCTTCAAGCGAGCGACGTTTCCCACCGCTAAGTTTCAAACTTTAAAATTTTTTGGTCTATCTAGGTTGGTAATAAAGCGTTTTACCAACAACAGCAACGATATAACAAAAAAATTAATATATACTATAAATCTGACCTTAGCCAGGCGAATTATTACTAACACACATCAGTGAAAGTATATGAAAACGGTATGAGTCACACGAATTATTCATAATTTAATTGTTTTATCCGACATAATGATGGATGATTTTCGCTTTTTTGCAAATGATTTTAAATTTTGTCTGAAGAGCGATAAGTCAGTAAAAAGCTACGTGATACCGTTGCAGAGTTTCGCTGAAATTTTCAGAAGACAGACGAACTCATTTGACACCTCTCGTGGGTCGGAATAAATACAAGAAACATTTTCTTTGTATAGAAGTCAAAACATAATGTTATCAAGTTACTCTACGTAACGGCCTCATTAAAATCAAGCCCAGAAGTAGTGTAACTTTGCGATGCACTGTAAGTAACGGGCAATCTAAAACTATTCTCAAACGTGGTGTTATTTTGCGATGCACTTTTATTTGAGTACCGGTCATTCTGAAATCATTCCCGAACGTTAGGTATTTTAAAATCCTTCTTAAAAGTAGTTCCACTTTGCAATGTACTTTGTGATGGTCATTCTAAAACCATGCCTGACAGTTGTGTCTTTTTGCGATGTACTTTGTGACGGCCATCTTAAAATCATGCTCAAACGTTATTTTGCGATGTATTTTATTTAAGTAAAGGTCATCCTAAAATCATGCCTAAAGTTGTGTCACTTGCGTTGTACTTTGAGTAACAGCCATCAATCACTTCCCAAAGTAGAGTCTTTTTGCGATGTGCTATCTTTGGCGGATCCATTTCAAAACTACGATGGATATAGCTCAGACATACACAGTTGAAACGAGTTCAGTCTGTTTGAATAAAACGAAACTTACGCACCGTATTGAACCGGGCTACGTTATCTTAGGTGACATGACTTATCATACTCCAGTGTTTTATTACACGTATTCATGTTATTCGTTTTGCGTTAAGTTACATCGAATCAATTAGGCTTGAAACATTCAATATAGCGAAATTCCTTATATAAAATGTCCCATATTTCAAACTAAAATTATTAAATTAATTGTTTTAAAATATAGTCTTTTCCTTCAGCTAGGACCAAAAATAATGTCTTATCTTTTGGGATGTGATATTTTGTATAAAACTGATGTGATAAAATTTCGACAAAGTTACGTTTTCTTATCTAACCTTCAAAGTAAAAATCTGTCCTGTTCAGATAAATTGGAATAACATGCTGAAATTCCAACGAACTTGAATGAACCGTATTGTTACATCATAACAGGTAATTACAGAACCTCTTAAGTGTCATTGTGTCATCATACGACCCGAGGTTCAAAGAATTAGTCAAAACAATGATATTACCTAGCATTAACGTTATTATAAACACACAATAATTTTTTTAGGAAAAAATTGTTTAAAACAAGGTCAAGCACACTCATTCAGGAGCAAAGGAGAACCATCTTTAACGAAATCAAGAAAGTCACTGAAACTGTATAGAATTTTATCGACCATTATAGATTCCATAATGTAAAGGTTACTGTTATTTTTGCAACTAGAATTATTTTATTTTCGTTCGAAATATTATATCAACCCTAATTCTGAAATATTCAACTGAAATTGTCTATCAATTTGCAAATTTATGATAGCCAAATGCCAATATGTAAGCTGAAAGTCTATTATTTTCGTTTTTTATGTCTAGACCTGCGATTAGAGATCCATTAATGTAAAGTTGAATGTTATTTTGCAACTAGAAATATTTTATTTTCGTTCGAAATATCATACCAACTGCAATTCTGAAATATTTTACCAATTTATAATAGTAGAATGTTAATATGTAGCATAAAAGTTTTTATATCTATACCCGCTGTAGTTTTATTCAAATTTTTCTAATTTCGAATAAAATGCGGTGCTATCCTTTCATCGATTCCAATCATTTGACATAGAATAAGAAGTGTTAAAATTATGATGTCCCAATATTACGTCATTGAGTTAAATGGTGGAATAAAATGTGGTGTCATGTCTTGATAAATCCCCAGATTTTTTTCTCTGATCGCATTCGGATAACAGTTACTTCGTGTTCCTATGGATATGCGGGGCTCTTTCTATTCAAGTGAGTGTTTTCTTAACTTTGCTATTTGAACTTAACACCTGCACCATTAAGTTTAAAATTTAATCACTACATGATCTGGTGTAATTATGCGTAATTTCAGCAAACTGACGCACAAAGGATATCCGCGCCGATCGGAAGAATTTCTTAAGTATGAAGTTCTACGCATTTTCACTTCAAACTTCACTTCATAGACGGCTTCATACAAGAGGTCAAAGTCGTTTTTTTTAGTACTTGTAGTGGTTTGCCGGCGCTCCAGAAGTATGTGTACCAATATTGAGGCAACTAATTTTGTTCGCCTACTTTACATCAAATTGTGTAATGGGACTGAAACCTATGGACATTGGGTATTCACTTGGCTAACACGGACAGTCCCCGAACTCGTAATAGGACTAAAATAAGGAAAATCGGAATGAAGTTATTGCCTAACCCTAACCCGGTACACATACTACGGGAGTGCCAGTTTTCCTTTAGCGACATGGCGATGCCTATAAAGTTACATACACGAAAATGACATTATGTTTTACCGTACTTTTCGTTTTATGATATAGCGATGTATATAAATTCGACACAATCAGTGGCATAACTTTTTTCGGTGCAGCAAAAAAGAATACGATGTCATAATCTATGATATCATTGAGTTAATTGCTTCTGAATTGTTTAATTGCATAATTAAAATGACTAACTAAAGTTCAAACCGTGTTTTTTGTTGACCTGACATGAAATGGCTTAGCCATTCATAAAAATGAACTCATATATCAGGCATCAGACTTTGACGACCTTCGACCCAAGCAACGAATATCTCTAATACATAATTTAAAATTCTACAAATAGTAGAAAATTTGGCACTCCCGTAGTATGTGAACTAAGATGGCGGACACCGGAACGTAGTATATGTACCAGGTTAGGGTTAGGCCATATTTTCAGGTATAAATACTACGGGAGTCAATCGGCAAGTCCCCGAACTCGTAATAGAATTAAAATGAGTAAAATTGGAATGACATTATGGCCTAACCCTAACCTGGTATACATACTACGTTCCGGTGTCTGCCATCTTGGTTTACATACTACGGGAGCGCCGAAAATTTTCCGTTAATCCTGACTATATGAAGCTCTTTGCACGGCCCGACCTCAAACACCCATGTTTTTCGCAAAATGCACCCATATGTCTGATCATACTGTTTCAAACTTTAACCCGAGCAAAAAGTCATTGGAGTACGCTAACCTTGTAAGGATGAGTTTAATATTTCAAATACTGCTCACTAGTATTCGACAGGTGTTAGCAACAGTTATAGGCTGTTTGCCAGGAGGAAAGTTCGATGTACAGTACGAGAGGGCGAAAAGGTTATTTTGGGTGGAATGAAAATAAAATTGTTGTGACGTGGCCTATTATACCTTCATTTTGTAACTTAATTGACTTAAAACTAGGTTATATTGGCGTTTTAGAATTTATGCCCAGAGAAAAGAAAAACGGTAAGCTGGCTTAATCAGCTACCGGGGGACTCGGGCATGTGAAGAAATGTCACTTTATTTCTGTGAAACCGGTCATTCTTCCAGTGAAACTACGATAGTGAATTTGACATATATGGCACGATTTTATTGCAAAACAAATTGATATTCAATATCCATAATAGAAATTGATTGCAAACGTGATTTTTAACTATTCAAATAGGAACTACACCAACTCATAACAAGAGTTGGTGCTTCCTATTCGGCTAAGCTAATACAACTTTGGTACCTATGAAGACTTAAAACAACATTTGCGTTACTTGTTCGGGATCGACCTGGTATTGTTTAGTTTAGGTCGGGTTCAGAGTGACCCAGTTATACACTGATATAAGGTGGTTAGATAAGTTGGTATGGACCAGAATGGCATGTCGATTGTATGGAACGAAAAAAGCTACTTATCACTTACGAAAAGCTTTTTTTTTTTTTTTAAATTGATGAAATTTAGAATTAGGTCTCGATCTTGTAACAAGAATTACTCTATAATTGGTTCATTCCAATACTTTTTTTGTTCGCTGAATATTTAAAATAAAATTTGCGGCATTGGCTCGAGGTCGAGTCGGTATGTTTGGTTTAAGTCGAGCTCAAACTGACTCGATTACACCGATATATGCGGACCAGAATGACATGTCGGATGCGGCGGGTAGGTTAATACAAGGCTGAGATTATTAAATCAGCTCCTATTATGTGCAAATTTTGGCGCTCCAGAAGTGTGTGTACTAATATGGAGGTAACTTATTTTGTCTGTCTACTTTACATCAACTCGTAATAGAACTAAAATAAGAAATAGGAATAAAATTATGCTCTAACCCTAACCTGATACACACACTACGGGAGAACTCAAATTTTACAAATCTTTTCTTCAAACTGGGCGCTAGCCTCAGTAGAGGGAACGCGGCGAAGCACACACACTTAAAGCACACATCTTAAATTAATCATAGTAAATCGCGCCTTATATGCCCCATGCAAAGCACACGCACACATGCCTACCTTGTTCAAACTCTATGATTGCCAATTCCGCGTGCCATATTAAATCAATCTATAGGAGGAAATTGTGCCTTATGTGCCTTTTGCATAGCAGATAGCACACAAATACACATACATACACATGCCTACCTGGACCGAACTCAATGATTGCCAATTCTGCATGCCATCTTCTACCAATCTTTAGCCTGTGTGGATCACGTCTGTATATGATTTGCTTAACGATCTCTGTAATCCAATGCGTACCTGTAAACATAATGAAGACCTTGTTATATCTAAAATCGATTGGTTTGCTTTTAACAAAACACCCAACAAGACAATATTATAAATAGAATAACTACTGAAACCGTATAGAATTGCGGCGGTGCATTACGCATACTCACTCAGAATTATGAATCATTTATTAGCTAAGGGGCACTAGCTCAGAAGTAAAAATGACTTATCTCTGAGCAAAGTTACGCACACTCACTCAGAAGTAAAAGAGACTCATCTCTGAGCAAAGTTACGCACACTCACTCAGAAGTAAAAGAACTCATCTCTGAGCAAAGTTACGCACACTCACTCAGAAGTAAAAGAACTCATCTCTGAGCAAAGTTACGCACACTCACTCAGAAGTAAAAAGAACTCATCTCTGAGCAAAGTTACGGGCACTCACTCAGAAGTAAAGGTGACTAATCTCTGAGCAAAGTTACGCACACTCACTAAGGGGTGAAGGAGACTCATCTCTAAGCAAAGTTACGCACACTCACTAAGAAGTAAAGGCGACTAATCTGTGAGCAAAGTTACGCACACTCACTAAGAGGTAAAGGAGACTCATATCTAAGCAAGGTTACGATGGACAAATGTAATACCGAGTGCTACCGAAATATGAAATGATGGCGATGCATTACGCGCACTCCCTTAGAAGTGAACAAGACCTATCCCTGAATTTATGGTCGGTTGAACTGCTGAAACCATTACATGCCTGATGACGCAAAACAACTGGGCGGCAGTAAATTCTATATACCGTAAATGAAGTTATAGTAAAAATGTTTTGGCATGGCAGTAAACGGATGCTGGCTTCTACCCAACAGGCAGGACGGCTGAAAATCTTTCTTGGGCGAATATTTATGCGTTTCCAAAATGGTGGACATGTTGTTGGACTCAAAATGGCGTAAGTAAGGTTCAATGATTGATGAAATTGACTCGACCTCGACATGGTGATATAAGAAACCGCTATGTAAGTTTTATCAATGAATACCTCCCTTAAGACTTGGGGCAATTAAAAACAAGCAAATTCTTTATGCAACTTCCTGCAAACCGTCTTATACAAACACGTTACTGTAGACTTGTGGAGTGTAGAATTACGTGAAAATTGTGTTGCTTGCTTCTTACAAGTTGTATTGCAATCGGCAACGATCACTAACAAACTAACTAGATAGACAAGAATCAAATTGAAATGTACAGTAGTGCATTGTGCCCAGATATATTGGCGTCATATTGACAATTAAAGATAACCGGTTCAATTTGAATGCACACAACTCCAACAGAGTGTAATGATCAGGGTGGGTCAGTGGTTCCCAACCGGGGCCCGTGGCCAGCCAAGAGGGCCACAGAGCAGTTGAAGGAGGCCACCATTCCAGATGCAAAATTGTTTTTTTCTAATTTTTACTAGAAAACTCCCCGATCTTCCTTTTTTTTTAATTTACTGTTTTTGAGATTCCAAGTCCAATTTTTTTTTTGTCCAATTTCAATTGTCATAATATTCACATATTTGCCAAATTATTATTTTATCTTCGTGAGCATGAATTGTTTGGACATAATGGGATTTGGAATCTACCAATCAAAATAACACCATAAATACCAATGGAATAATAAACGGGGGGCTATGAGTGCTAAAAGTCTCCGGAAGGTGGCCACAGGATATAAAAGTTGGAAACCACTGGAGTAGATAATGCCGTGTCAGAGGATGTATGTACATATCCTTGTTCAACGTACAAGCGTAAAAAAACCCGTAATAAAAATTTCCATGGATCAATTTTTTTAACAGTAATTGTAAAATTGAATTATGTTGCCTCTTCCTAAAGCTATCAATAATGAGGTTCTTCCCAAATCAAGAGAAAATTAATCATGGATAATTTTGAAAACGATCTGAATTTCCAATACGTGATTTTAATGGATTGCTTTTAATGATTCGTTTTATGTATTTTAGCACGCATCTGCCTTTTGTCTCAGAAATTAACATTTTGCATAATAAATGAACATCATAACATAGACAGTCACATGTACAACACCTTGATGGCCTTAGACGTTGTTGTGCGACACCCTTCACAACTACTGTATATCACTGTACTGTATATCAATTTAATAACTCTAGCAATTTTTAATATGTTCGTGGGCTCGTGGCCCATTTGAAAATGTTTATGTGGCCCATGGGCCATGGCCTACTGATTGAGAACCGGCGGCCTAGACTAAACCATTGCTCATTTTGCTTTTTTGTTAGTTGATCCGCAGATATACCGAAGCAAGACTTTTGGGGGGTTCAAAAGTCTTGGATTACACTTTCACAATTATTATAGAATAACGGGTATACGTATAACTAATTCTCTCTGCCTTTGTGTAAGTGGATCCGTATGTACTGCAGTGCAGACCAAAATTAAATGATTCAAAAATAAACGTTTTGTTTAAACAAGTCATTTAAAACGGCTTGAATTTTCGTGATGTCCAGTAACGTATCCTGTTTAATAGTGACAGCGTATATAAATAATAAATAAATGAGTGTTTTACGTAACCTAAATTTTGAGTCAGTTATTTTTTTGCTGAAAAGAAAATTATTCACCTGTTTTTGGAAAAGACATAATAAATACATCCCCTTCACGAGGCGACCATTTCTCATAAGCATATTTTGCTGTATCAGCAAAAAAGTTTGGGGTGAAAGTATGTCCGTCCCACTCAGTGATTTGACGATTGTCTGCCCAGTTACGCTCAAACTCTTCGACTTCGTCCAACGCTGGCTTCAGCTTTGACGGCAATGAAGCCTCAAAATCGTCCATTTTGTAAGACTTTTATTTCCAAGGAAGTATTCCGTTTTGTTTTAGGGCTTTGAAGTAGTTGTTTTCAGCTTGTTACTCTTTTTAAAAAAAGGTTTCACTTTTTTTCTCCTGAAGGACCAAATAGAATAAACATAACTATTAAACTACATTAGATCTGTAAATAAAATGATATAAAGTGTTTTCTAATTCAGGTGACAATTGAAGCTTACTGGCTAAGATCAATAGCTAACAATACCACTATTGCTAGTGCTAAATATTGTACAGTTGTATTGTACATAAAGTTAAAATAAATAAAAACAAAATTTTTCCAAAATCAGGTAATTCAAATTTCACTACATGAGGTCAATAGCTAGCTAGCTAAAATAAATTATAAAACTGCAATCAAAATTTGAACATACAAAAAATATTCAATGCTGTACCATACTTATCAAGCAACCTATTAAATTCATGTTAGGTAATATTAAATAAATCTCTCTCACTTTCAGGTCTAACTGAACTCGTACCAGCGCACGCCAAAGCGACTGCACGAACACTTCACATGCCATTGGTTTATATAGAAATGCCTTTTTCTTTTCAAACTAAATGTTCTATATAACATATTATGCGAATATAAACGCCGATTCAACCCAAACAAACCGAAATGCACGCGACATATGTACGAATGCTCAAATAAGAGAAAAAACATTGCTCTGAAAGTTTCGTCGATGCACATGGTGTCCTGCCCATGAAATAACTCAGAAATTGTGCGTGCAACCTATTCCACTCATTTATGTTATATGAAATCGAAAAAAAAACTTACGTCCAAAAGTCTTAATTTTTTTTTTCAATTGAAGTACGGTGTTACATCTGAAAGTTAAGGGGGAATGGAAGGAAATTACTGATTCAGCTCTCAAGTCAAGCCGGAAGCGTCCATAAAGTCCTAAGTTTTTTTTTTTGATTGATAAATTTAAGAAAAAATTAAGACTTGGATGTTGAATAAATAGTACATAAATTGCATAAGCTTTTTTTTCGTTTTCATGTAACATAAAGGAGTGGAACAGCTTGCGCGCACAAGTTCTGAGTGTGAAATCTAATTTGCCTTAATATTTAGAGTAAAAGTCTGTTTGAAAATCTGTCAAAAACCTTTTTTTTACACATAATGCTCTGCAATGCAACATAAATTATATAAATTTATATTTATCTCCATATGACATAGAAGAGTGAAATGGGTTACTCATATAGTTTAAACAATTTGCGGAGTGTATTCCACCTACATACAAATAAAAGTAAGCAATAATATTAAAAAATATTTATTAAAATGACCTGACTTACAGGGCTATTATAGCTAATGAAAGTAGATTAGGTTTAAACATTAATGTTTGTATAGTGTATATGAATTCATCTAGATATGCATGAACATACTCCTAAAGTCACAGTGTCGACATGAGCGTATAATACGAAAACAGTACTGTACCAATATAAAATATGTAGCGTAGCATATGCAGGTAGCTAATCACATGAGCTTCTAACCTGTCTAATTTTAGGCGTGACGCCATACTTTAATTCCTAACGTAAAAAAAAATGTATTTGAATATTCAAAAGTGGCTCATATGCCGCTTATGATGAACAGTCAGATACATAACACATTTTTATAACTTATATAACGTATATAACTTTATAAAAAATAATTTTATCACTGAGAACAAAATATCTACCACCCTAAATACTGCTTGAGCTTATGTCGAGAGCCCGAATAATATCAGTAAAACTGCAGCGAATACAAAATAATATTTCTTCAAAAACAACGAATTTCTCCCTAGTTACAAAATGCTACTGCTGCGCCTTCCGCGCGTTTAAATCAGTAATCATACAGCGACACTGGTTGAAATAATCGCTTTGTGAATTAATTTTGTTTTTTTGAGTCAGGTCTTATCGCAGTACAACAGACATTCCTTAATGCACCGGTTCTCAACCAGTGGGCCATGGCTCACTGCTGGGCCACCAAAGCATTTTCAGTTGGGCCACAAACCTTTGGAAAATAAAATAGTTGTTGATAAATTTAGTTTCATTTGTGTCACTATAGTTACGTTTTGATTGCAGTAGCAATAAACGATGCTGTTGTTTGCTGCAGAGTGGTAATCATTTTTTCCAATTATTCAAGTGAAAGTGTCTATTTTGTGGGAAGAATTATTTAATTTTCTTGTAGTTCACACAGACACGGGAAAATTAATGAGCTACGGCATTTTTGTGCAATAAAAAGGGCTACCATAAGAAAAAGGTTATCACCATGTCACTGTGTTCGTGACTTATTATGTTTATGCCGAGGCGAATAGATGAACTCACAGTGGTTCGCGATTCATAACAACTATCTATATGCGTCAATCGGTTCATTTTGCAAAATTCGTCTGCTGCATCGTCGAATCATTATTATGAAACAATGTGGGAAAATGACTAATCCTTTCCTCTTTAGAGTTGAATGTGACTTCACAATGGGAGGAATATGGGAATCAAATAACACCCAGGATTGACCTTTATTGCGAGCACAGGATTGAAAAACATTTCTGGGAAATCGCTGATGGCGTATGGCGTAAACAGCACGGTACTAATCAGCCGGGCTACATACCACTGAGGATGTTTCGTTGCATTATAGTTTACCGACTCTAGATTAAACGTTTTATTTTCATACTAACAAAAAGATATTGCTATTTTGTACGACATTCTGTATCCTGTGGCCCTATTTGCCAGTATAATTTTTATCGAAATTGAATATACTAGAACAGGGGTTGCCATCACGTCGATCGCCACGTTCCTAATAGTCGATCGCGTTTGATGCTGAGTGATTTCAAAAATATACCCCAAAAAATTGCCTTAAATCAACTTCACGCAGCGTCTGTTGTATGCTTTAAAACGGGAAAAATACTGGACTGTACATAGGCAATCTTGGACCTTCTCCAATACTTGGTACCGATCAGTTGATTGCGAGCTATTTTGAAGATTTTAGTCGATTGCGATCGAAAGCAGGTTGATCCCCCCAGTACTAGAACAAAGAAGCGGCGTTACTTACAAACGCACACCTTTCACTTCAAAAAATACGAACCATTTGTATCTGTAACATGCGATGCTAATATATTTCATAGCAAACTTGAATTGAACACAGGTCAAGTAAGAATCGTATTTTCGAATTATCCGGAAACCAAATTTATAGGAAATTGGAATGTTAGACTTCTATTCGTCCGAATTCCAATGTTATGACGAATTTTTGAACAGCGCGTTATATGAAAGTTTTTTTTCTGGCTTCACAGCTCGATACACACCACAATAAATTATCGTTGAAACAGATTTGTTAACTACAAACTATTAGTCCGGGTTAAGCAAGACCAAGCATATTCCATGATATTGAAGAGCCTTGCTGCGCCCGGGGCACATGGCCCCCCGGGGGAGGCACAGAGCACTTGAAGGGGGCCACAATGCTAAACGAAACACTGATTTAACTTTTTACTTTACAAGAAAACTCCCCGTTTATCCTAGTTTCATTGCTTGGCGAGATTATTTTACAAGGTGTTTTCACTTTGTTGGGCCTGAATTGTTTGAACATAATGAGATTTGCAATCTACCAATCAAAATAACACTATAAATACCACTGGAATGATAAACTTTGCACGAGTGCATGCTAAAAGCCTCCGGAAGGGGCCATAAGCCATGAAAGGTTGGGAACCACTGCTTTACAAAAATACGTTTATATCAGTATGCAGCAAGACTCTTGGAATACATGGATACTGTAATTAGTTAAGATAGTTACTATACAAGCTTGGGATCATAAGAGTTCGCTTTACAGCAGGAAACATACTGCTACTAATTGCATTAGTCAGATCACGGTAACGTTATATTAGGAAACTATAAAACTATGTAACAGTCTATATGCATCAAATCACGAAAATTGACCAGATACAAACATACAGCGTTTACTGCACAAAATATTCGGTAGTCCTGAAGTATGTGAACCAAGATGGCGGACACCGGAACGTAGTATGTGTACCAGGATAGGGTTAGGTCATAATTTGATTCCAGTTTATCCTTATTTCAGTTCTATTACGAGTTCGGGGACTAGCCAAGTGACTCCCTGAACCGACTGCAATTATGGCCTATCCCTAACCTGGTACACATACTACGTTCCGGTGTCCGCCATCTTGGTTCACATACATCGGGAGTACCAAATATTCTAGTTCTAAATGGCAAGCATTTTGATCTTAATTGTGTCACCCTGAGCGGTTGAAGATCTTCCCATCAAACCTCACCACTTCACCCACTCGTAAAAAAACGGTGCAAAAAAATTAGATGTATGCATACCCGAGCCAGGTCTGACTTCCCACTTACCGGTACTACATGTGTGATAAGTCCCATCCTTCTTATCCAACGCTCTTATCTATAGCAGGTTCGTTGCAAACATCCTTCTTAATAACTAGAAACAGTAATTCTTCATCTAATTTAGCGTCTTGACCTTCCATGGGCATACTACGACCCGCGGGCCAAATCCGGTCTGTTGAGTAATTCAATCTGACCCGTCTGATGCTGCCACATCCAAACTAAAACCAAATTTTGATGTTTTATCTAAAAAATAGCTCGAGGAATTTGTTAAATCTAGTTTCAGGCACGAGGCTTATTGTTTTCCACTTTTCCAACACTGTAAATATTGATCACAAAATGTAACTTTCACGTCACACTTACATGGCCCGTCCGACTGGTTGGGCGAAAAATTTTGGCCCTGGTCTAAAATCCTTGCCCACCCCTGGTCTTGACTATTTTTAATCTCCAAATGAAAATGAAATATCTTATCCTAAAGCTAAGTAACAACATCTCGAGCTGGAAGCCCTACAAACACAGAATACCGTTACAATGACGCCGACGAATAATTAGAAATTAGCGCTTAAGTAATCCTGATATTGTTTTTGTTTAGATGTCGTGACCCGACGGGCATCATGTATGCAAATTTACAGATAATCTTGTTGTTTTACGTAAGCAACTATGCTTTTAACAATCACGGTACAAATACATAGCATTTTGAAGTAATTAAACAACTAATACAGACCACAGCACAAAAGTTTTAAAGGCCTATTTGAATACAGTTGCAATATGGTAGTGTTATCCGTATTTTGATTCTTAGTTATCACCCT